GAGATTTGCATTTTGAATTAGTTTTTACATCGCTTACTGATGCTTTCCTACAAACTTATGTGTGTATAAAAGAACACAATGGGAGTTTATCCCATCAACAACGCCACGGTGGGGTGGTTATGGTGAAATTGGTGAAAAAATTTATTGAAAAAAGTGGTAGGACGATCTTCTCTAACATTTGAGGAACCGTATTTTGTGTCTGTGAATCTTTTATTAATTATTGACCTTTATCCTGTCTTGGAGAAGATAGTGACAGTATTGAGAAGATAGTGATAGTATAGAGAGAATTAATGATTAAAGACATGATGATTTATATATGATTTTGTTTTGTTGCTGTTAACAATTGTAAGTTTTGAAAATATATAATTATTGAAAGATACTTAAAGACTTTAATCAAATTAATTTATCTATTGGCCTATTCTAATTTGGTGCATTTCCTGAGAGTATTCATTATACCAAAGTTGATGTAGACTTTTACAATTTGTCTGATTCAAGCTAAATTACGAAGCACTGTTTTGACTTGATATTCTTTCTTTTATTTTTACCACATTTATAGTCCGTCAATACTACGTAGCTTTTAAGACTAGATTTTAATTTTCAGTTTTTGAGATTCAACGTTTTCAAATGTTAACATTCTGAAATGTTGATGTATCTGTTTTTCAACTGAACGGTTACCAGTATAAAAAAAATAAATTCAAATAACAGTACATTACCTCTGTCAAAATAAGTATCTTCATTGTCCTTTGGATCAGGTCCATCATCCAGTTCATAGATTGGCTCTTTCATAGGTGAATTACTTTCACCAAATTCAAAAGTTACCTCTTTCATAGGTGAATTACTTTCATCAATTTGTAATGAAACAGGCTTTGGAGAAATACAATCAGTATTGGAAGTAGTTACAGCCGAAGGATCATCTTCACCCTCTGGTAACAAATCAGACTGTTGGCTCACGTTTCTAAGATAATTCGAACTGGAAAAATCTTCACTTTCTTCATGATTATAATTCATCAACCAAGTATTATTGATGTTTATGGTATTATTTATTATTTTGGATTTTTCTTCTCTCAGTTGATTACAATCCTTTAGCTTTGAGCAGAACTGTGCTTCCATCTGATCCATAACTGTAAATCCTCGAAACCCATCTTCAATATCTTTTATTGGGGCTAATTTGTCTTCATTTAACCTCAGACGTTTTTTTAAAGGTAGATATTCATTACTGGAAAACTTTTTCGTGATTGATGGTAAATTAATAGTAACATTACTATCTTTATCAATACTTGACACGGAGATGATATTAACTTCTTTTATCTGTGGAATGAGCAGCTCAGAACAATTCTTGTTTTCCACATGATCAGTATTATTATTAGGTAGAGTATGATCTTCCCTGTAAGTTGGATCAGATGTTATGTTTATAGTTACTTTTCCGCACCCTTGTTGCTTTTCTAAAGACATATTTGGAATTTTTGTAACATCATTTTCTTTTTTTTGATAGGATTCATAATTCTGCTTCATTTTGGAATAATCATCAATTTTATGTTGTTCCACAGGTGAGACAGAAGAAACTTCCACAGATTTGTTTCTATTTTTCTTTTTATCAACAACTTCTTTATTTTTGGAAATATCATCTGATTCTGTATTACATTCCAATTCACTTTCAACCTCCCTATATTTTTTGTTCTCAGTTTTCTGTTTTTTTATGGCAGTTACATTATCAGATGTCAATTCAGATATTACTTCTTTCTTAACATCTATCGGTGACAAGCTTCTTTCGTCAAATTGTTGATCCATCAGTTTTGACTTTTTGTTCGCATTTTGTTCATCTACTGATTTAGATCTTTTCTTTGATGAATTTTCAATGATATTCCATGGTATTATTTCGGTTTCTATTATACTATATTCATAATGCTCTTTCATAGCTTGGAAATGCATCCACTGTGACTTCGTTCTATGTTTTTTCTTCAGAAACTCATATACAATGGTGAGTTTCTCCCATTTGTCTCTTATTTCCTCACAACTGAAATCAAAACCAAAATTTGAATCAATGTTTTGGAACTCATACTGAATCTCTTTGAGTAACTGAGGACTATCATATCCATGAAAATTGCAAACAATTTTTCTTTCTGTAAATTTTTTGATGAGTTCTTCAGTAAGACTCTTTGTAAAATTCATTTTTACACACTTCTTCCCTTTTCGAAAATCATCAATTGCAGTGAAATATGGCATCTTGAGATGAGCTTCTTTATTTCCAATGAGTTTAGTATATCGATAATTCAAATACCTCCATTTAGTTTCAATGTCACTTCTAACTAAATTTACGTAGCCTTCTTCCAAGAATTCGTGATACACTTCAGTCATCCTTTCCATTTTATGAGAACGTTTATTAGTTCTTCTCTTCAGTAAACATTCAATGAGAAACCAAACCATATCTTCTGAAAATTTTGACTGACCACCTTGGTGAAAATCGGAAATTTCATAGCAACTGTCCATTATTTTATAATATTTCCAAGATTCTTTTTCCACAAAATGATTCTTCACTTGCAAGTACTGCCTTACTAAATTTCTCCATGTGGATAGTATTTCCTCATCACTATATTTTTTAAATTCTCTACAATATTTGATTAAAAGTTTATTGAAACCACTCTGGTCAAGCTGTTTGGTTCTTAATAGATTTTTGGCTTCTATGTAGCACAAGATAAGAGTCTCCATAGCTAAAGGATTGTTTTCCATTATAAATTTTTCTAAATATTTCCTAATTTATGGTCGTTCTTTTATCATTAATTCACTGCAGAAAACTTGAAGACAAGCAAAAACTCTACTTCTAGGAAATCGAAGTACTCTCAGAGAATTCTCCCCTCAAGCATTTCTCATATCACGCAACAATATGAAGTTAGCGGATCTGACCGCCTGACTGTTTTGCTTCATACAAGGCTTTGGCTGCAAGAGCAATTTACCAACATTATCGCTGACTTAAAAAGTGGTTATCCGTTGGGGTTGAGTCTATAATGATAGGATAATTCGAATTAAAAATAATCGGGCGAATGATAGGAATCATTCAAATGCCATACCAAGGAGCAAGTGGAAAAATAAGGTACTAATCGGACATAAACCACTCAAGTATGTGGCAAACCACAGGCACGTGTTTCGCGTTTTTCGCCCATTGTCAGTATGGTGCAGCCAAGTGTAAGGATGGGCAATACATGGTTACAAAAAAAAACAAATGCACGAAGCCACCATCACCAGTAGCCAGCCGCACCTTTGAGGTTTCAGTTAATAGATCATGCACTTGTGATGGACTGTTTGGAACCTTTGGTATAGTAATGAATGTCACTGGAGTTTTTTCCTAACATCAAATCGTTATTTTTGACACCTCGACACGTGTTTCAATCACCGAGTGATCATCTTCAAGAGGAAGATTAAATTGAATATTCGATCCTATATAGTATCTTTAATAGTTCATTATTTTTTTCTTCGTTCAGGATTAGGTTACAACGAATTGAAATTGATAATAATGGTACGGCAAGTAAGGCATTTTTTTAACGTAGCAACTGCACTGAATATTTCATTCAAAAATGAAATCCACTGTCTCAATATTCGTCAACCTATTACAAAAGAGACAAACAATCATAATACTCCAACTTCTACCTAACCACCGTATAGAAGTACTTCTCTACGGTGACCTAACTGACAGAAGCAGGGGTGTAGAGGGAGAAAGATTGAATATCAAAAAGAATGCATGTCACCTGCTCATTAAGTAAGAAACTGGTAAACGCATAGTCATCGCTCACATAATATATTCGACAACGCCGGGATCTTGAATATCTAGTTGAAATTATATCAATGGTTGGCTTGATGCGCCTGAATGGAAGCAAAAGCCAAAAACATAGAGAGAGATAGAAATAAATCACATAGTATCCGGAGAATTCATCATTCGAATTATGCCCATTATAATTGAGTCTTTCACCGAGATTCTCATCTATAAATCAATGATATTCAATTCAATAACGGATACTTGAATGCAATACATTCATTTTGAAAAATTATACATTAATAATGAGGTATTCATTTCAACATATACAAAAAGGATTATATATATTTTATTTATTTTTTGATCATAATATGGCGAATGATAACATAAAATGGATGTACTTATTGTTTTTAGGAGCTTGATATTAGAAAGCATTTAATTTAACTTTTCGAAGAACTTGAATATTAAAAAAAAACACATGACAACCCTTAATATGCGATTTACTGATACTGATAGGATATTTGTTCTTAGATTTGGGGTACTGTCTGTGGTACGACAGATGAACAACATATAATAACTGGTTTGAACACCAAAAACTTGTTTACTGTTTCGATGCGTTTCGTCGCCCTACCTTAGTGTTGAAACAAAAATGACTTGAAGCTCATTGAAATCAACAATTCAATGAAAGAAGTGCACATTTTGAATATATGTGGGTAGAATTCATGAAAGTACTCCCTCGCTTTTAAAAAAATATAAATTTCGATAGTTATATTTTCAATTTGAAATTTTATGAAACAGGTGTGAGACTGAAACATTTTGTCCCAGTATCACATATTTTTACAAATGAATACAATGATGTGTAGATTGGGGTACATACATATTGGCTTGAGATAGATAGCTGTTGAAGTTTTTTATAAACTCTCCTAGATTCACTAGAAATACATTACCATTTTCTGAATCACACTGCAGAAATAATTAGTACCTTTATTTCTTTGTACCACGGACTACAAGAGCTGCAAATAGAAAGGACTTTGATTTCTTTACTTTCTGCATCCGAATTTTAGAGGCAGTTGAATTTGGTGTGTAATATGTAGTTTTTGCGAATGTTTTTCTGACGGAACCATGACGGAACAATCAAATCAGTGATACATTTTTACACACACACACATAAAGGATATGCTCCTTTGGAGGCACTGGCTAATTTTAAAGGGAATATTATTCGTATAGTTTAAAACTTAGAAGAAGAATAGGAATATTATTTTTTTTTAGGTTATAATGGTTTGTGTATCTGTCTATGAGTTAACATTGATTTGGAAGTTACTTGTTTTTGAGATTAATTACACATTTTTTTGTCCATTCCTACTCAATTTGACAAGTCGAGAAGAGATAAGAGACAATGTCAGATGCTGAGGGCAGCAATGACATCACAACTATTGAAAATCCCTATGCATATCTGGAGAGGGATTTTTCATCAGAAAATTTCAAAATCGAAGTGAAGAATTTACCCAAATTTTATGGCATGAATGTACTATTGTATTTATTGTTCAGTTTTTGCAATATTAAAATTTGTTTTTTTAGGAATTTCGCAAATTGTTGAATGAAAAGTTGAAACTGCACTCCAACAAAATAAAAACTACTAGAAAAAACAGCCCATATGCATTTGTGTGTTTCAGAAATGAAGAAGATAGGGAAAATGCCATCAATGTTCTTACAAACTATAAGTGGAAAGGCTATGATTTACAGATTTTGGTGAGAATATGAGAATATAATTTCCTGATATGAACTGAGTTTTTTACAGAAAGCAAAACCTGCTCCTGATCCACTGGTGAAAAAAAGAAAGGAGAATGCTGAAGATCTTCATTCTAATAAAAAAACTAAAACTGAAGAAGTTTGTTCCCAAGAAGAAAAACTTAAGAATTCAACTATTCCTTATCACAATGTGGAATATGACCAACAAGTATGTATTATGTTGATAGAACTCATAGCTTCACAGCTATTCTAAGAGTATATGGTAGTAGTGCAAGTTGAAACAATGCCAAAATTTATAAATCTTGGAAGTCCATATATAGAAACAATCCAAAAAAATTTTTTTTTCATGACACAAATAACTCAGATGCAGCCTTTTAAAATAAATTTAGAAAATATAAGAATTTTACATGTTGCTGTGCTATCCCAATTCGATTAATCTTGGTATGTTCTCTATGCTGAAATGTAGAACTAAAATGTGAAACTGAAACACCACATCTACAATACTTTTGTCTCCAAGCATTTCACCATCCAGTTTGGCATCATCAAGGGATTAACTATACTGTTCATATATCTACCTACTAATCATCTAACATAGTTCTTCTCCTGATGATACCCATTTGACAAAATTCTTCATTTTAATTATATTTCAACGTGATTAATTGTTGTCAAAAGTATGTCTACTTTATTTTCAAAGAAATGTCCAAGACAAGTTTAAAATATAAATTAATTATAATAAAAATAAAATCGAATGGTGTTTTTTCAGTACAATATATGGCGACGGAACATTTTTTCGTCTAGAATCAAATGAGAACCATAATTCGGTGGATGATTGCTTTTGTTAGTTTCTCCACAAATGAAGTTTGAGAATTGCCATTTTGTAATTTTTTTGTGGATCAGCTTGCCAATGTTACCAAGATGTATTAATTTTATCATTTACATAGTTATCACATTCAATGCCTGTTAGCTAGATATTTTGAACTAATAGTCTTCCTCAAATGACACAATTTTTTTAGAAATCTCAGTGGATCGAATAAAGAAATATGTTATCCAAGTCCTCAGAATTCCCATGAAAGTCCAAAAATCCTTCGTAGAATTGAAATGGAATTGAGATTAATCTTTGTTGAACTATTCATCAAAAGTCATCATTTTCATGAATTTCTTCAAATTATTTATTCAATTAACCAATTAAAATCCAGCTCTCAATTGTGTTTGACTTCACACAACCAATCTGACTTTAACCCTTTCCTAAATATAGCCATCTTTTTTACACTACCAAATGGTAACAATTTGTCAGGTTTTGATCAAACATTTATTAATAACACAATTGTATTATTATATTATTAATTACATGATTATCAATAATTCTACATAGTTCTATGTACATTCTCATGTACAAACAATGAAGGTTTTTAGCTAAAAAAGGGGGTTAAATTCAACCAAAAAAATCTAAAAATCTATTTTTTTGATCAAAGTATGCAGTATTTTTTCTTCCGCGGACTCTGCATATTTTTCTTTCCAATGACCACATGCACTGTGAAGTAAAAATACTATAAACAAATCCCTCTTGATGTTATACTCAGGGAGCTTATTAGGATTTTCAAACTTTGGTGCAATAATGTATAACACATTTAAATGTTGCAAGAAAGCATTCTTGCATGTGAGTTGTGTAGTCTGTCACAATGTTTTCCACTCCAGTTGTTACAGAGGAAAAAAAATTCATACAAAATTGACCAGGCATATGATTTACTGCTCGAAAAAATGTCAGTGGAATGTAATGAAAACGAAAAAGTTAACACTCTTTCAGAAGAACTCGGAAAGTTAAAAAGTGATAATGAAGAAAAGAAGCTTAAATAAGACTTCTCAGTCATTTAAAAAAAAGAAAGTGTTTGCACTATATGAAAAAATCTAATACAATATAAAAGGGTAATAGCTAAACAAAAAAAAAAGAAAAAAGCTGAGCAGAAAAGGAAAAGAGTTAAGTGGAAGAACATTTCAGTGGAAGTCTTGTCTCCAAATGAAATAAACTCCGCCATTTTCTCCTGACTATTAGCTCATGGTGACAAATATGAAGTGTACAATTTATGTGAGAAAGAAAGCCGATTATTATTGTCTTTGTCAAAATGGTTTAGACTTTCACGGCTAAGGTTTTCAGTGTCGTTTCTTTTCGAGTTTGAAAGCCGTGGATTTTTGGAATTTCTTCCTGACGTTTCGCTGGCGCAGTGGCTAGCTTCCTCACAGGTTTAACCATTATGGCTTGCTGTCCAGTGACTACCTTTTCGTCTTCGTAAAGCGTGTTTATGCCTTGTCAGGTAATCAGTTTTATTTGTACCTGTACTCGTTCTTGCACTTGAACTTGGAACATTAACAATCTTACTGCCTGTTCCTTAAAATGGGGTTCCATATTTGATTGAGGTGCACCGCTTCTTCTTTTCGGTTGAAATTCTCCGTGTGCTTGTGGATCTCTATTGCCTCCTGTACCAGTCGGCTATGGTATCCCTGGTTGCGGGAAATTAGTTCTGTGTTTTCAAACAAAATTCTGTGGTCTCCTTCACTAAGTGCGCGTTCTGCCACAGCTTACTTGTCCGTTTGGCCTAGTCTGCAGTTCCTTTTATGCTCTTTTAGTCTTGTTCCCATGGATCGTTTGGTGGTTCCGATATATACCTTTCCTCAAGTGCACGGTATGCGATATACTCCTGCTGTTGATAATGGGTCTCTTTTGTCTTTAGCCGACCTGAGGCTTTGTTGTATCTTCCTCGTGGGTTTGAAGACTGTTTCGATGTCGTGTTTGCCTAATAGTTTTCCAATTCTGTCTGTGACCCTAGGGATAAACGGTAGATATGCGCGTGCAACCATCTGATCCTTTTTCGCTTTCTGAACCGTGGTGCCCTTCGGTTTCATGGCTTTACAAAAAAGCATTTTCTAATCACTAATCACTTAATAATAAAACAAACAACAAAAACCAACTACAAAAACTAAAAACAATGATAACAATAGCAAATAAACTAAACACAATATCAATTTCCGACCGTTTATTATAACTAATGCCATGCCCGTGGTACCATCGAATCCTTCGATATTACAGCACTGAACGCGTTGGATGAGAATCTCATCCTAAGAGCAGTTGAAGGTCCCCGTCATCTCGGGCGGGGGCCTACTGGTTATTATTCTACTGCGAATAAACACTTTTCTTCATACTCAAAAAGTATGAAGAAAAGATCCATGAGATAGGTAACATTAACATATCAGTGATTTCGTCACTAGATGTGTTAGTCACTGAGAAAAAACTTTTACCTTGAAGAGCTGAGATCTTTAAGGGAAAGGACACACAATTCTAGACACTATCCAACACGAGAGAAGAAATATAAAAAAACAATAGGCAGAAATAGGTCAATGTGTATAAAAACAGAACTAGAAATGAAAAAAAAAATTGTTATTTCTGGGCATCATTGTCAGAGGATGGGGGACATTTTGACCAGCTTGACGGAATCATATTCTGTTTCATCTATTGTAAAACCCATTGCTGCTGATGATATACTGCAATCCTTTTTGCAAAAACCTTCACCATAAAGGATGTGGTTGTAATATGGCCTCGCTGTATCCCTACCGCACTGCTGGACCGCGTCGCAAGATTACAGCATACATATATCTTGATAGTCTCGGAACCTTATAGATATGACTTGAATATCAATCAAATGATATTCGAAAATAATTTGCGGATAATAAAAAATGCATTATCTTGAAATTTAAAAAAAATCTCTCTTTTGGAGTGTGATAACTTGTAAAGAAACAGTTACGTGAGAAACAGCTATTGTTTATGTTTAAATTTGTTTATGTTTAATGTTTTTTTTTTTTTTCGTTAACCAGCTATCGCACTCCTACGAACGACAACCCTCGGAAATCGAAACTTTTGCGAGTTAAGGACTAACGAGGTCTTACCTTTTAACGTGTGATTCCTTCAAAAAATCTGCAAAATAATTCATAGACAAATCGAAACTTAACTTGCTAAAAGAAATAGAAAGAAAACAAAAACTGCAAGAAGAGGAACATTCTATATGGAAAAAAGGGGTTTTCGAAAAGAATAAACAATCCTGGAATTGAGCAAGGAGTGGAACAACTCAAATGATGATGATGACCAGAATGATAATAGTATCAGAGGATGCTATCCAATATAGTCAAACAACAAAAATAATCTCACAGTTTCTTTTTTAGAAATTGAACAAAAGACTTTTAAGTTATGCTACTCAATATTCAATCCATAAAAAATCAAATTGATGAACTAGACATATTGTTGGAAAGTTTTGGTTGTTCTGCTATAGTATTATTAACAGAACACTGGTGATGGATCACAAATTCTCTCAGAAAATCACATTGAAGAGTTATTTTAAATTGGTGTTCACTATTATATGATAGAACTGTCCCATACTTGATGAACATCCATTATAACGTATTAAAAAACAAACTTTAATGTTTAACATGTCCTGGTTTACAGAACCGGGACACGTATCTTCGGGAGTCACAATATGAGACTTTTGAGCAAAACACCATTTCAGAAGGGATTCAGAAACCAAAAAAAAGATGGAAGTAATGAATTATAAATTTGGCAGCTAGAATATAATTTATGTGGTGAAACTTTTAGCTCAGTGTTGAGGAATTTCATAAGTCTATGAAAAAATTAAAAAAATATGTGGAAACATAAAAACTGAAAACATCTATACTGTCATTTGGCATAGTTGTGTTTGTAGAAAAAATCAGATAGATAAACCTCTCATTTTTAAATTTTTTTATTCTCACCAACTCATAATCTTAATGTAGCTCAGTTTTCAATTTCCTCTTTTTCAGTTGAAACTGAAACTGGAAGATATAAAGAAAGTTTTGAAAAAATTTGGCAGTGAACTTTCTCGTCAAAACACGGAACTGAAAAACTGGATAGAAAAACAAAAGTTTCTTTATGATGGTTTGCCTTGCGAGTTACTTGATATAAGATTTTCTGATACGACTGAAGGGTAATTGTAAATATGAATCAGCGATATCTACGTTCAAAATGTCCTATATTTCAGGTATCGAAATAAATGTGAATTCACAGTTGGAATTGATGAAGATACGAATCTGCCTACAGTAGGGTTCAGAATAGGAAGTTACGTGAAGGGTACTACAGCTGTGGGTCCTGTCGACAACCTTGTACATATTCCTGAGTCCATGAAGGTGGCAGTCAAGGTAAGAAGATATTTCTCCATAATTATGGTTTTCGTTTTGTATATAACTCCATCTTGACTTCACAGTCTTTTAAGTTTATTATTAGTGAGTTTTTTCTTTTGCATTTGTCCCTATGTACTTTTTTAAAACTTCTTTTCGAAACTACTCACAACCATATTAAATTGATAAACTATACATGATGGTTCTCAAATATTTTCCGATATTCAAATTAGAAAAAGGCAGGGATTTTTTGCCGCAAAACTTTTTATTTATACAATTTTTCACATCACGTGCTATACACCTTAGTGTTTTTTGATAAAATATGAATCTTCGCCCTATCTGTCTGTGGAATGACGTTGTCATATAATAATGGACTGTCTTTTGGGAAAACTCATATGCAAAAAAAAATCATAATCTTCCAATAATAAAATTATATAGAAACACTAGATATGTAGATACATTTCTCTCACAAAGAATACGAGACACAAAAAATAAGTCTCAACTCAATACCGTCTATCAGATTTCCAAAAAGCTTTTGATCAAGTAGGTCTTGATATTTTATTATTAACTAGCGAAACGGTCCGGCTCCGCACGGGTGCAATGCTGATACTTATTATACATATAAACATGCTGTAGGGCGAAGCGCAACCATCGACGCGCTATTTATAGGCACGCGCCGCCAGCTCTCCGGCCGGTACCGCCGCAACCGCTATGTCCCTGCATTTTAAATTTGTTATTAATTAATTAATTAATTGCGTAGTTTTAAAAATCTAAGTATATATAGGAACAGACAGCGGGAAGTGACTTTGTTTTATACTATTTAGTGATAAAAATTGAAGTTATAAAACCAAAAAATTAAATGAAATTATGAAATGAAATTAGTGAATTGAATTGATTTCTGAATAAATTATAATAATTATTCAAATTTGGACTAACTGGTTCATAAAATAATAATTGAATCAAAAACAATCCTACAATTTTTTGTATAAAGATGGAGAAGTAAAAAGCCAAAAGCTTTTTTTTTCACAAAAACTAATATCTACTAAAAATTATACTCCTTTCAAATTAAATGAATCATTATTGATAAATTCATCATCTGAATTAATTTCAGTCCCGAGCTACTTCCAAAATATCTTTACATGTCCCCAATTGTTCAACTAGACAGGTGCAAACGTTTTACGTTTCTTTTCAAATATTCAATTATTCATATAACGGCTTTATTCCCAGAACTCTTAGATTGGCTAACTCTTTAAACAACCTTCAAGTCTTTAATATATCAGTATCCCGCTTTAAAAACCATATTTTTCACTTAACCATCTAATACTCTCTGCTTGTGTTGTTGTATTGTGTCTAGTGTTACTTGCCTGTAAGAATTATATTAGTTCATTTTGTTATACATTTTTATTTTTTCTCAATAATTTATTTGCTATCTTACTTCGGAATTGTATTATTGTTATAACTTACTTTTAATCCACTGTATTGTATCAAGTACTACATAGCACTGTACTACTTATATCCGAATTGGGCTTGCCCGTGTATATATAAATAAATAAATTTTGACTAGATTCAAAGAATATTTTCCAATTCTTGACAACATTGAAACGGAAATCAGACATGAAAAAATCAGACATGATAGTACACCTACACATGAATCATGTATTAAAAAAACACTTTATTGTGAGATTTTCACTAAACAGTTTTACATAAACGCAACACGTGTTTTGCTTCTGGCGTAAAGACACGCCAAAAGAAGCCATTCATTGTATGGCGAAACACGTGTTGCGTTTTTGTAAAACTGTTTAGTGTAAATCTCACAATGAAGTGCGGGATGGTAGTCTGGTGGGTTGACTTGGGTGGTTTGCACCACTCACTCAATCGACCGCTGTGTGAACCGGTGGTTCAAGCCTCGAGGCCGGACGATCGATTTTCACTTCCTATCGTTCAATCCTTGTTAGGAATCACATGTTTAAAGGTAAGACCTCGTTAGTCCTTAGCTGGCACAAGTTTCGACTTTTGAGAGTTGTCGTTCGTACGGGGGCGACAGCTGGTTAACGGAAAAACAGATTTTGAACAGAATAGTTATGAATTTTCATCAAGTATCCAATATCATCATATATCATGAATTATATGCCCATTATCTGCACATATTATGCACAATATTATGCACATATATGCACAATTATGAAGAATGCTTAATTTTACAAAATGAAATCGATTTAGTATTCGACTGGTGTTCCAAGAACCATTTACGTTTGAACATATCGAAATGTTACATTTTATCATTTTCTAGAAAGAAGAATATAATAGAATTTTCTTATGTTATTGACAGTATTCCAGTTAGTTGAGTAAATGAGATGACAGATATTGGAATCACTTTTGATTATAAATTCACTTTCACTTCCCACATAGACCAGGCTATTTCATCAGCGAATCGAATGTTGGGCTTTATTAAAAGAAGTACCAGAGAATTCAAGAATATTAATACGATTATAACACTGTTTAATGCCTATGTGAGGTCTAAACTAGAATACGGCGTGTTAATATGGTATCCAATTTATAATTGCCACATACATCATATTGATGTTGTTCAAAAAAATTTTTAAAATATCTGTCTTTCAAGGTCACAGGAATATATCCTCAGAGGGGAACCGACTATTCTATCCTTCTGAATCAATTTAATGTAATATCTCTGAATACACGACGACTTTTTGTTACAATCTCCTTTCTTCACAAACTGCTAAACAATAAGGTCTCGTAAGTAGTCCGCTTATGGAAGTTCAGCTCTTCAATATCAGTTGACAGAGTTAGTGTTTTATTTGTTTCTAAACGTAAATCTTATGTTTTTGCTTGTCGATCTGATTCTCTTCTGACATCTGCCGTTTCAGCAGATGTCAGAATATATTCCTGTTTGGTGACTGAATGCCAGTCTCCTCAAATCCCCATTGTTGCTGCTCCTATAAATGCCGATCCAAATACAGCAGATACTTGCTAAAGTGTTAAAACTTCTCAGGATTACATCACAACCTGAACAATAGGCATCACCCTCAAACGGAACAAACATAGGAAAAAAGTGTGGACCTGAATATTTTTTATCAAAACGTTCAATCAATTCGAAATAAACTTGATGAGATTGAGAGTTTTCTAGAATATTATCACCAAAAAACTTCATTTGACATTTTGTTTCAGTGAAACCTGGCTAAATGAAATTGAAACTGAGTTTGTTAACATATCTGGTTTTAAAATTGGTTCTTATTACTGCAGAAATGCTCATATCCATGGTGGCACTGCAATTTTGGTAAGAAATGGCCTTAACGTTTCTAATAGAGTTGATCTAACAAACTTATCGCGCGATCTCACCTGTGAAATCTCGGCAATTGAAATTATTGATAAAAATATCATTATTGTTACTATTTATCGATCTCCAAATGGGGTATTTTCAGAGTTTCTTGAAGTGTTCAGCAATCTATTATTGAAATGTGAAAAGTAAGATGTTATCATAAATGGTGATTTCAACATAAAATTTAATAGAAAAGATGAAATTCTTCATGAATTTATAGATCTCCTACTGATAAATAACCTTAATATCACTGTCACGGAAAATACAAGACTAAAAAATTGTCTAGATAACATCTTATCAAATTTCACTATAGGTTATAAAACATCAGTAATTGACCACAAAGCTATTATTTTTAGTTGTAAATTATCAAATCAAAACAGTATAAACGAAGAAAATATCAGCCGTCCAATGACAGTAGTAGGACTAAATAAATTTTTCAATATAATTGATCACACAGACTGGAGACTCTTTGCTGATGATACAACATTGAAATAAATCTCTCCATAACTAATTTAAAAGAAAAAATCATAGAGGCACAGTTGAAGGTTGATGATTGGTTCAACTGTAACAGGCTTCGCTTAAATGACTCAAAAACTGAATATATTGTTTTCTCTCTTAGAAATCATGACGTGAAGTTGAAGTCAAATGTGAAATTTCTATGAGTAATGCTTGACTCATCTTTAACATGGAAATCTCACGTTGATTATTTAGTGAAAAAACTATGCAGGGTAACTCATCTCCTAAAAAACTTGGCCAAAATTGTTAGCAATAAAGTACTATTAAAGGCTTATTGCTTCATTTCAGTCACTAGTTCTGTATGCATTTCTCTGTTGGGTTCACTCGGCACATACTGAAAGAATTTTTGGCATCCAGAGACGAGCTATTCGATATATGCTCTCTCTTGCTTATAGGGAGGATATTAGAGAAAAATTAATAAAATTTGGTATCTTAACTACACCGTCACTATACATTTATGAATTTAAGTTTATAAAAATCAATATAAAAACTTATGACTATGTATCCACTACTCATTTACATAATACACGACAAAAAAATAATTTAGTTCTACAGTATCATAGGTTGTCTAAAATCAGAAATTATAAAAATTATTATGGTCCAATATTCTTCAACAAAATTCCTGAAGCTATACGCTGTACCCCTACTGAAAGTTTCCTACAAATAATAAAGAAACTACTTATCAAAAAAGTGTATTATAGCATTGAAGAATTCCTGTCTGATGATGTGGTCTCTTCTTTGCCGATGTTGCAGTGACACACAGGTAGAGCATAAATATTTTATAACTATCTTTAAGTTTAAACCTTTTATATTATGTAGATGTAATTATAACCATGACTTACATATTTTACTAGTATATTCCCACCTGACTTGTGTAAACATGAAGAGTGTAAAGCATCAATAAAATTTCTTTCTTTCTTTCTTTCATTTACGCAGTTTATTTCTATAGTAAAAGTTTAGAGTTTTGAAGAAAGTTACACCAAAAGGCTATATCCTGTGTGAAGTGTTAGACAGAGAATGACATTATAATTATCTTGTGCAGTGATTTCTAGGCTTTTTGTGTGTGTGTTAAATAACCATCTAGTATAAGCAACATAGATGAATCCTTGCTAGCTTTTGAGTCACCCAAAAACAGTTCAGTTGTATTATATCAACTATCAGACAACTCTGCTCAATTTTATGGTGATTATATGATGGAATTGGCCGATACTTGATGAAAATCCATAACTAACGTAATCAAAAAACACTTTATTGTGATATTTTCACTGAACAGTTTCACAAAAATGCTACAAGTGTTTCACCATACAATGGCTTCTCCGGTTCACGTGTTGCATTTTTGTAAAACAGCTTAGTGAAAATCTCACAATAAAGTGTTTTTTGAATACGTTAGTTATGGTGATCAGTTCAAAATTTCTACTGTTGTTGCTTTCTGGGGAATGAATACCAACATAACTGGCATAAAAGCGTCTGCTGCAGATATTTGCACAAGGCCCGCCACAGTCTTTTCTTGATCAACAGAATTCAGTTACTATTCTGAAATATGACTATCTCCAAGTTTGGATGCAGTATGTTTAATTATATCTTCAAATTCATTTTGCCAATTTACATTGTTAATTCATACTTTGCAGTGTAACTTTTTCCCTTCCCTTTCAATGAATGGACTTCAAGAGGTATTTATGATCCATAAACGAGATTTATTAATAAAATTGACGGCTCTGACAGTAACTGATGAATAGATTTTGATTGAAATTCCTACTTTGTGATAAGTTATAGTGATCCAGTTAATTTTTCATATGCATTCTAAAATTTCATTCTAGATTTTTCAAGATTATGTACGATCTTCGGACTTGAAAGTTTTTGACCCTGAACATCATACTGGGCATTTCAGACAATTAATGGCAAGGTCAGCACAGAACCAGTTGATGCTTGTTGTGGGTATTCACCCTCAAGATCTCACAGATGACCAATTAAGTGAATTCAAGACAAGTATCGTTGAATATTTCTCTGTTGGAAAAGGAACACCCGCAAAGGTTACCTCTTTGTATTTTCAGAAAATAGTCAAAAAGTAAGTCGTTGAACCCGTTTTGTTTAATAAATGTAATTATTTGTTGAACCATTTGTTATCACTAGCAAGGTTTTTGTTCCCTAGTAATTAAAATGTTCAAAAAGATGTTGTTAACAAGGCCGTTATATCTTTCAGAAATCATAGAGATGATATAGTGCCAACGGAACATCTTTGGGGCGACACACATATTTATGAGACAATTATGGGGTTGAAGTTCAAGATATCACCAGAGGCATTCTTCCAGATAAATACTAAGGGTGCAGAACTCTTGTATAAAGCAGCTATTGAATTGGCAGAGCCTTCTGAGAACTCTACAGTATTGGACGTTTGTTGTGGAACTGGGACTATAGGACTTTGTTTTGCAAATGTAGGTTTTTCAAAAGGAAAAAATATTTGTATGCTCTTATTTAATTTTTTTTTAGAAAAGCTCCCAAGTTTTGGGCATAGAAGTAATTCCTCAGGCGATAGTTGATGCCAAAGAAAATGCAACTTTGAACAGCATTGAAAATTCAGATTTTTTTGTCGGGAAAGCAGAGGATATATTAGGAAATATATGTTTTAAGGCAACTGGGGAAGATGTTATAGCTGTAGTAGATCCTCCCAGAGCAGGGTTACGTGAGTAATTTAGTTTTTTCTCAATTATAATTCATAGATTACTGCCCTTTCATAAAAATCTTTGCAAATTTCTTGATGAGGCTTTTTTTAAGTACACTGGAGAGAAAGGGAGAGAAGAGAGAGAGAAATATACTTTGCCAATATGAAGAGAATATTCTTATAGACTAAGCTCTAACAATAAAACTGATGTACACTTTCATTCATTCATTCTGTCTTCCCCAAGAAACATGCTTCATATGAAGTATTCAATAATACTTTTAGCTTCATTTGAATAATTTTTCACAATTATTAGTTCGCTACCAACATCAAATTTTAATGAGATTGACTTTTTGATACTATGGATATTTTTTGTCAATTGATGTCTGCTGCCTACTTATAGAATTGTGAAGTTTCACTTTTATTGGCCAAGATATTTTTTAGTTTTTAGGCACAAAAAAATCCTTTGTTTGGTTTTGAGGCACAAAAAATCATTTTGTTTGGATCTCCTTCACTTCGTATACACTTTTCTTGATAATTATGAGAAGTTCAAGCTTTGAAGATTATCTAGTAAAAAACTTCAGGTGACTGACTGTTAACCACCTATATTTGCTATATTTGCTTATACATGTAGAACTCGATAATGTATATCTATGATTAATGCTCACTCAAAAGATTCAGCATCAATCAATGAAAGCAAATAATTATGAAATTGCCTTAGAAGAACGGAATGATAAACTTAAAATAAAATGACTAGTTCAAATGTGATGTATGTGAGATTTCACAAAATTAATTAGGTATTGAAAAAAATTAATATTGTACTTCAAACAAGATTCAAAGTAGATTTCAATTATTCAGGAAAGGACTTTGCTACGTATGACTTGCTTATAGAATTGTTAGAAAAACAGTGTCAAGTGTCCATACCTAGTACTATGTCAAAATCCAATAATTTTTTTGATCTGCTTCTCCCTGAAAAGTTTCAACCCATAACAAACATATACAACTTATATTGAACTCTGAAAACATTTTGCATGTGGACAAAAGAAACAGCTCTCCTTACCTTAAAGCAATCAGTCTTTGGCTTTTTCCTTTAGCAGAAAAATTCAAATGTGTACCTCATAATAATTTTCTATCCCTGTCAAAATATTTTATACAACCAGTTGTCACAATAAAGTTCAAAATAATCACAATGGAGTTCCTTAAAGTCTCCACCAATTCAAAAGTAGGTTAAAGAAAGTTTTAATGAATCATTGTTTTTATAGCTTAGGAGAATTTGATGACTTCCTTTCTAGCAGTGTTAACTGAAAGCATAGTGTTTATTGTGCTTCATTATTTTTATGTAATATTAGCGTTACATCCTCATCAATGTAATATGTCCATGTCTGTAGGTATACAGTGCATTTCTTTAATGTCACTCCACCTTTTAATTTTTTATCGGGTCAACTCAAAAAAATTGAAATTTGGGATAATGAAATTAATGCATGAATACTTTATTTTGAAATGAAATTGACAGATGAAACTTTCAAGATGGCGACGGGGCGCCATCTGGGAAAAAAAAATTAAATGGTGACACATCTTTTTGAAGCTCCTGACGAACACTTCATAACCCTAGAATATGAAGTTAATATCTTTACCTACTACAAAATGGCGGAACATTTAATGATTGCCTGAATACATTGACATTTAACTACATAATATGAGATAATAAGCTTAAGGTCAATTCAGAATATGCTTGAAATGGTTGCCTTGAATTTGCCTTGACATATTTATGAACAGTCTATCAGATATTTCACGCCGAACATTTTCGAACACAGTAACGTCAATATCTATACAAATATTTATTATTCTTTGCCGTATATCCAATATTGCAGCAGGTTCAGTTTCGTACACCTTTTGCTTCGAATAGCCCCATAAAAAAGTCGAAAGGTGTCAAATCTGGTGAGCGGGCTGGCCATTCTGTAGGACCTCGACGGCCAATCCAACGACCGGGAAAAGTAGTGTCCAAATAGTTTGGTACTTGTCTGGAGTAATGTGGTGGTGCTCCATCTTGTTGGAATACAATATCCATATCGAATTCATTAGGATTCGCTTCGACGATTTCAGTGATGAGAGGGTAAACAATAGTTTCCAACATATTCAAATACAGTTTCCCTGTTAAATTTTGATTAATAAATAGAGGTCCTACAATATGGTTTCTCAATATTCCTGTCCAAACGTTATTTTTTTCTGGATATTGAGTATGTGTTTCCCGGAAACGTGAGGGTTGGTGTCACTCCAATAACGGCAATTTTGTCTGTAAACATTGCCGTTTAAAAAAAAATTACATTCTTCACTAAAACAAATATAGTGGAGACAGGTAGAATGCCTTGCAATGGTTTCCGTGCTGATTTCGTAGAATTCTGTTCTTCGATCAGGGTCATCTTCAGTTAATTGGTGTACCATTTCGCGACGATGATGATACCTATTCGCGACGAAATAAGTAGATTGTTCAGGATTTACTACCATCTCACCAATTATTTGCACTTGCTGTTCTTCCAGAATGGACGGATGACCTGGGGGCTTTTTGTTATGGATACTACCGGTAGTTGTGAATTTGGATACAAGTTCCCTCAAATATTTTTTACAGGTAGGACAATTTGGAAAACGTTCATTGAGAATCCTTTCGGTCTCGTGAAAGTTACGCGTCGCACCGTAAATAAAAATTGCTTCAATTTTTTCTTCCATTGGACGAGAATTGACCATTTTAGAGATTGTTGACGTGGTACCTTTTTACTAGTAAAATCGAAAACTAAATGAGAATATTCTAACTGAACAATGATGTTCATTGTCGTACTGACAATTTTTGTCGTTTTTATAAACAAAAAATAACTTAATATTTCTAGTTATATCGATATTAATGTGTTTGTCCTCAGGAAATTATTAATTGTTCCGCCATTTTGTAGTAGGTGGAGATATTGACTTCATATTCTAGAGTTGTAAAATTTGTCAGGAGCTTGAAAATGATGTGTCGCAAGACCCCCCTTTCCATTTATTTTTTTCCCAGATGGCGCCCAGTCGCCATCTTGAAAGTTTCATCTGTCAATTTCACTTCAAAATAAAGTATTCATGCATTAATTTCATTATCCCAAATTTCAATTTTTTGAGTTGACCCGGTCAAAAAATAAAAGGGAGGGGCGACATTAAAGAAATGCACTGTAGATACTCTATTTTTGCCAATGTAAATGATTTTTTAACCTGTAAACTAGTACTTTAGGAGTATTTTTTTAGTAAGTGTGTGGGTTTTACACCTCACCAGACATCCAATCCATTGTATAATAGAAAAACGGATTTAATGAAATTTGATTTGATTTGATCTGCACAGCACACTTCTCACTATACCTTAGTAACATAGCAAATTACTCGAGACTATAACTATAGGCACCCGTGAGGATTAATGCTAACATACAACTGCCAAAATGATGGCAACACTTCATGGTAACATTGGAATTATATTTTCCAATTGCTTTTGAAATTGATGAAGTTTTATGTAAAGTTAATCGACACCATAATTTTTTCAAAATATTATTTTGCAGAGACACACTTGTATCGTCCTTCTATTACAAATATTTCCAAATTACAAATTTCATTTGACCTGATTTTGATTGTATCTCTTTACTTCTGTAATGTATTATTTACTATCTGTTGAGAGCACATTCAACAAATATTGATTAATAACGTGAATGTGAACGCGATTTTTGGCGGGAAAGCGCTGGTAGTAATTGCTCTTGAAACTTAACGCACACTGCTTCAGGACGGGAACATGACGTGACGCGGCCTTTGAGCTGAGACAGCACCGCATCTGCCTATCCGTTGCCTGCCTTAGTGCGCGCCCCCTCATAAGGAACTGTAGAAAGAAAAAAGAACTTCACGTCATGTTCCCGTCCTGTCGCAGTGTGCGTTAGATTCAATATGGCATCAGAGTTTCAATAGACGTTATTTATTCCTCCTTGGATTATAATTAATATAAAGGAAACTCGACCACAACTAAGTTTCAATTCTCTCTTGAATTCTCAACATTGCCTTAACAATCTTCTGATAAATAATAATTGAAGTTATTTTGTTCAACAATTTTTGGAAACTTCAAATATTTATTTGTATGTGAAATTGTTTTGTTTCAGAGAAAAGAGCAATATTTCAGATCAGAAAGATACCAAAAATCAATAAAGTAGTTTATGTTTCATGCAATCCTATGGCAGCTTTGCAAAATTTTGTGGATTTTGGCAGACCGGAATCTAAGAAAGTCCATGGAGTACCTTTGGTACCAACAAAAGCTGTAGCAGTTGATATGTTCCCTTATACTAAACATTGCGAGCTTGTGATTTGCTTTGAGAGGTGGGATAAAATTTCATCAAAACAGCTTCAATCTGAAGAGCTGGTCTCTTAGACATCAAATGTTTAGTTACATTTTCTATTATTGTATATAATTTACAAATTTGTTAGAAAATAAGGAGAAAATATAATTAAACAAATTCAAAGTTGATGTTTTGTTTACTTTTATTAAAGTTATTTTGAAACTTGTGTATTATTAAAGAAAGTGTTCGTTTCACTTGGTATAGAAGCTCTTCGGAACTTAACATGTTGACTTTTGAATATTTCAGCCAGGGTCGATGAAGCCTTAATGCTACCAAACATGACAACTGGTTGTCAACCCTATTAACATAATATCAATGTGATACTACGTCCATTCCTTTGATTTTTTGAAAACACAGACAACATTTGGGAAAAATAATTATAAACTGTGGTTTGCATCGAATCCCAAAATGGAAAAAAATATATTTGAATATCATCAAGCAGTAGTCAATTACGAGTATAAGAGGGAGATATGCCTATATCAATAACTGGTTATATAAAAAAAACTGATGCATAAAATTGTTGACATTTTAATGAGGGGGAGGTTTAAGGCCTCCCTCCCCTATCTAACTTTTTGAACTGTACAAGATGTCAAGTTAGGTCTAAAACTTGTAGATGAAAGTGCTGTAGCAAGCAGGGCTTTACATTATGGTTAGTAGTTAATATTTTGTACATTTACTGGTATAAACTGGAGTAAGTTTTGATTATTTTTGTCTTGAAATTATATTTATCATTTGTTTGTAAATTCTGAAAACGAATATAAAATTGGCAATCAATTGGAAACAACTGATCCGATTAACAAAAATGAACCAGTATTGGACAGAGAATGGAAAGATATATCAAACGAGGTATAAGAAGGTCAACCTTTCCATTGAAAGAAAGTTGTTAAGGTCCACTGGGCATCCAGTGATGCAATACTAGCGTCTTCTTTTCAAAAAGTACTATAAATGATGCCTTTTAAATAACATATATATTCCTAGCTATATATAAAAAATTAAATATTTCAAGTTGTTCATATCAATATATCAATGGGAGAAGAAAGGAAGTTTAAAATAAAACTTCAAAATAATATTCTTATGTACCCTAGTCGTTTTTATTACATCAACCGTAGATAGAAAGTAAAGTTCAACAAAAATCAAAATTCAAGTGTGACTAACAAATTCGGTGTAGCTAGTAATTTGAATTTTGGTGAATTTTCGTAAATTGACTAGAGTTAAAGAAACAACTTTAGGAATGCATTTAAACATATGTACATAGTTAACGAGGAAATCATTCCTTGAGAACCGTTTTCTTATATACAGTACAATATATACAGTACCTGTCTCCAAATTGAATATATTCAAATGATATTTTCACTGAAAATGTGCAGGGAACTATTTAAAAAAATTGAAACTGAACAGTTACAATATACCCATTTCTATTTCATCTAGAAAATTCAAAAGCTTTAAAGCCAAACCTAGTTTGGAGTTTTATATAACCAATACTATTTAAACCCATAAAATCTGTGTTTGCCCTTTATATTTTAAAAATTAATTACATTTGAAATTACTTTCAATTTGGAGACACCAATATAGTTATAACAAAACAAATATTCAGATAACTGGGGTTTCTTTTACAAGTTTATACAAATTTAACAATAAAGAATATCAACAGTTTTTCACATAGACCACATTTATAAAATCGAGAGTTTCCAATAAGTAGGGTTAATTTAAGAAGAATAATTAAATAATGCCAACGTAATGTTGAACAGAAATAACAATAGACGATATGTACAAATATGGCAATAGTTCAACGAAAAAGATTGATAAAAATATTGCAAAATGAAAGACATGTTTTCATAGAATATTGGGCTATTTTGCAGTGGCCGAGAAGCATTTCATGTTTTAATCTTAATATAAATAACTGTAGAATAAATATGTCAATGTACAGAATGATTATATTGAATGTTTTTTTATTGGATTATTTCAGACATTATAGTCATTAAAATTACAACATTTACAATTTAACGTCAACCAGTGATAAATATATTCTGATTATAAAGCAGTATGAAAATGCATTTGATAGCAGAATTCATATTCAGTGAATGTCAAGTTAACAGAGTCATCGGAAATGAAAATCTGGTCACAAAAATATATCAACAATGGATAGAAACACTTTATCTTTCCATTATTATAAATAAATACTTATAATAAGTTCTGATATTTTACATTTACGGACTGCCAAAAATGATTATGAAGTAAGATTATTTTGTTAAACATTCAGTTTGCAAATTTTGAGTTTGAATAAGGTGAAAACAACACTTTCACTATTATTTTGTTTAAATAAATCTGAAACCAGGAAAATATTTGAAAATATGGTATTCAGTAAAAAACTTCTGAAATTATCCCTAACTAGATTTGAATCCTATCAAATGAAGAAATTCAGTAAGCGAAGAAGATTAATAGGTTTTTCCATTATGGGGACTCAAGTTTAAACCTGACCATACCACAATGACCTAATTTTTATTAAGTAAATAAATAAATCAAGCTGCATTTCTCAGGACAAATGGTTTTCTCAGAGTATCTGAAGACCTGAATAATCTCAGAATCAGAGCAGCATGGCGGCTTCATAAAGCATTTGTAGCAGATATAAGATCTTGACTCAAGTGTTTTATGGTCCAATATTTTTCCAACTTTGCAAAAATGCGAAGTTCATAAATTTCAATGGTAACAGAAAGAAATTCATCGAATCTCTCAGTACTATTTTTGAAATTTATAATTAAATATGGAATATTTCTTCATAAACTAAGTTGTTGGTCTGGAATTAAAAAAAAATACTAGAGTTTCTAGTTCAAGTGATTTCATAAGTAAAGCAATATTGCTCATAGGAAAAAAAATTGAACCTTGAACTAAGAAATTTCAATTCATGTGTGATTATTAAAAGGTAAAGTAAAATTTGGGTTTGCTTGGATTCATTGTTAATCAATAAAACAAATAAAAGTACACTGATCAATATGTCACGAATCTGTCCATATAATATAATAAATTAAATTACACTGATCAATTTGTTATGAATCTGTCAATATAAAACAAAAGAAACAACCTGGGTTCAAGGAATCCAGAACTGTATCTCAAATAATTTATGTCACTTATCATTAATTTTTGGCTTATGCCTTTCAATAACATTTTCAAGGACATTTTCAGAATGAAATCAGTTTGCGTAGATATAACTTGCATGCATGAAAATGATGTCAAGGTTATTGTGGAAAATAGTGTGATATTTAACAAAATCAAAACTAAGGATTGGTTTATTGGGCGCATAAAAATAAATCAACAAACAAAGCATAACTTCCCTAGTTGAAATCATTATAATTTTATCAATGTTTACGAAATGAAATACTGGCAGCTCTCAACTGGGCAAGCCTAATTTGCTTTCTTAAAGGTAGTATACTTTTGCCTCCAATGAACTGAACCTATTCTTCATTATCTATTCTTTATTACCAAAAATATTCATTAATCAAGGTTTCAACAATTTTTATTTTATGAAGTTAAAGATCACTTCTTTGAAATGGAATTAATAATTCTCATTGTTGACAGACATTCTAATGAAACTTTTTCCTGCAAAATACCATTTCTTCAAGTAAAATAATTATATAAAAGAAACATGGAAACATATAAATAATTTTTTTGTACGATTCAATATTCATTGCAGTTGTTTCAAAAGTATTTTTTCTTTCATGTAATTCAATGTTTATATGAGAGTAGTTGTTCCGAGAGGGCTTTTTCTTCCAGTTTGTACCTGAAAGTAATTTCTATGCATGATCGACACATTTTGATTTTTCACACATTTATTGTATAAAGATAGAGAAGAAGAAAGCCAAAACTTTTCTTTTCCATAAAATTGATATTTATAATACAATAATTGAAGGAATGAAACTTGACGTTTTCCTAACCTATCAGTTTAAGCAAAACTGAAATGCTATCTGGCCACTTTGATTGTTGATAAATACTATTTTTTTCAGTCATATTTTCAAATATTCGGACTAGCGATCAATAAAATAAAAATTTTCATTGAGAAATTCGATTGTAAAATTAACAGAACATCATATGTAACAGCTAACCTATTGAACATAACAGTTCAGAAACTTTTGTACTATTCACAATTTTGATACTTCTACAAAAATGGAACATAAACTTTTCAACACATTTAAAAAGTTCAAAAAACAGATTCTGCAGATTTAGACAGATGAATTGGATGAGATGGACTTCGTGCTAGCCGTTTTTTCGGCAACTTATCTAAAATGTTTAGTAGCCTTATAAAATCGGGCCTGTCTCCAGGGCGGAATGACCAGCACAGCATGAGAATATCCTAATAAGTAGAGAAACATATTCAATTAAATGAAATGGGAATACTACTAAATCATTTTTGATGAATTATTTTCTAAGAGAAGCATTTACCTTCACGTCTCTAGATGCTTGAAGATTGGCTAGAGGTTGCTTCATTCCCTTCCCAACCTGCCATATAACAGCTTGGGGTGGTTGTCCTTTGAAGGGCCATTCTCCACACAATAGTTCATACCACACGGTGCTTTAAAATAAAAATTATTCAATAATTTGCTTGTGCACAATTTTAAATAAGGTTGGTAGTCTTTTCAAAGAAATAATACTATGTTCTCCTATTCTGTATCTTCTCAGTTTTTTAACTCATTCTTTATGGGAATCTTAAAGGATTGCGAACTGAAATTCAATATTCATAATGCTGAAAGTGAGTTTTATTTCAATGTTGACAATTATCCTGCCAATCACCCAGAGAAACTGAAAAATGAATTATGGAATACAATACTAAATTTTTAGAATTTTGTAGAATTAAACTATGAATTAACTGTATTGAATATGTGTTCAACCAATTTTTAAGTTTAGTTGTATATTGTATATATATATATTAAATTTTAATATTTTCTATATTTTTATTTTTTATCTCATACTGGAAACTACTTTTGAAGTCATAATATACTGTTTGAATTGGCTTCAAAGTGTTTTCACTGGAAGGAAAATTAATTTGTTAAAACGATAGTCAGTTCACTGAAATAGTTTTTCATATGAATACCGTTTTATATCTACTGAAGAGGCAGATTGTTAATATTTATGATTTAAGAGTCACACCGATAGTTGAAGAAAACATACTCACCCGAAAGCATATACATCTGAAGCTTTGCTGAATGGTAGCTCCTCATCATGCGGCTGATGAGCATGCAAACTCCTCATTATTTCTGGGGCAAGGTAACATAACCAGCCAGGAGGTATACCTAAACTGTCGGATTTCCTAAAAACAATTAAAAATTGAGTTTTCCTATATGTCTTAGAGTAGTTCTCATCTACCTAAAGCTGAAAAGTATTGATATTTTAGACTTTTCTTTCTCTTTGATCTGCATGGAAGCTTGGAGTTCAGAATGAGTTTAGCATCTATATCATGCTTCCATAAACTAGTTCATAATTTTATTAACTGTCTTGATCTACTCAGCCAACTAAATTTCAAAGTACCGCAATTCGTAGGCAGAAACAATTCAATGTTCTATAGTTTCCGACTAAGAGCCAATGTCCTTATGAAATCATCAGTCAGCACAATGTGTAATAATTTGTTTGTAGGTGGTTGATAATGTTGTGCATTTCATTAGTTCGGACTTCCATTGTCTAATAATATATTTATAAATTGATTTGAAATTCCTGAAAGAATCTGTAAAAATTAAAAGGATTAGCTGAAAAATAACAATTATACTAAGCAAAAAACCGAAATTACAATGAAATAAAATACCAGCAACAACAAAAAAAAATAAAAAGTAAAATTGAACTATTAACACGAGATGAAAAAAAAAAAAAAATTAACAAGAAATGAAAAATAAAAATTGAAAGATTCCAAAGTTACTACACGACGTTTCGGGTGATAACTGGACTTATTTCTCCGAGATCTTACTATTTATAGGTAATTCGAGTGCTTTCACCTATCCCCTCTTCCCTCCCATTTAGTGTCGGTCCTCTTTACGTATTGGCGAAGAGGACTGACACTAAATGGGAAACATCTGTATATCGAAAACCCACTCACACAGGACAGTATCTGAACCAGGAATCCAACCACCATCAATCGAATAAGAGAGGAATCATCATGACTCTAGTAGACCGTGCTTTTGAGCTCTGTAATACAAAGGTCTCGAAAAGGAACTAGTCATAATCAAAAATGACCTTCATCGGAATGGTTACTCCAAAGTGATGGTGGAACAGGCTTTAGCTAGAAGACAGTAAGAGCTCCACAAGGAAGAGAAGCCACCACAACCAGTACTTGTACTTCCCTACATCAGAGGATTATCAGAAAAGATAAGAAGGATTGGGTCCAAGTATAACATCAGAACCTGTTTCAGATCTGGAAACACTATCCGTAGCAGCCTCACGAAAACCAAGCCACCAAACGCGGACTGCGATTCCAAGAATTGCATTTACCGGATACCCTGCGAGTGCGGAGAATCATACATCGGTGAAACCAAGAGGCCATTGAGAGTTCGCATTGCCGAGCACAAGAAACACATACAGCGAGGAGAAACCAACAAATCAGGAATAGCAGAACATGTTTGGACTCATCAACATAACATCAAGCCGAAATCATCCACAAGGAGGAACACTGGTTTAGGAGAAAATTGAAAGAAGCCGCATATATGTTGTCCAACAACGCATTTAGCCAAGCTAGCGTAGAGATTCGCAACATATGGAAACCTCTAATGAAGCGGAACACGACCAACTCCCGCCAAAGGGTCAGCTTCCGCTAAAACCGATGAGGCGGAGAGATGGGAAGAGGGAATAAGCGAAAGCACTCGAATGACCTATAAATAGTCAGATCTCGGAGGAATAAGTCCAGTTATCACCCGAAGACGATTGTGGTTACTAACAATTGAAACGTCATGTAGTAACTTGGTTTGGGAATCTTTTAATTTTTATTTTTCCCTTCTTCTTAATAATTTTCTTTTTTTTTTAATTTTCATCTCGTGTTAATAGTTCAATTTTTTATTTTTATTTTTTTTTTGGTTGGTGCTTGTATTTTATTTCATCATAATTTCAGTTTTTTGCTTAATATAATTGTTATTTTTCAGCTAATCTTTTTAGTTTTTAACAGATTCTTTCAGGGATTTCAAATCAATGTATATCATATTAGAGAATGGAAGTCCAAACTAATGAAATGCAATATATAATAATTTTAACATAATTTGTAACTCTCGTGATTCATTCTGGGATAGCTTTTTCAGAGGTATTCAAAAAATTGGTATCGATTTCGAAAGTTTATTAAAGGAACACCTTTATAACTTCAGTCATATGTAACAAAAAATCAATTAATTTTTTTATTGCAGGCAAAACTAGGTCTATATAAAAAAAAATAAATTTTACATTCACAAGTTTGTCCATGTTTTCTAGCCATCTGAAAGATAGTTATTTGCAAACTTTGCAACTTACAAGTTCATTATTCACTATTAAATTTTTGCTTCTAATGCAGTCTTCCGTAAGCGATTTCAAATGAGCCAGTATTACTTGACAAAACTTTTCTGGTTGACTTTGATCTTTCAGCTTCAGATCAACTCAGAAAATGTACAGGCCCACAATAGTTTATAATCATTTTCATATATTGCAAATCTTTGTATATAAACTACTCACCGGTTCCCGAAACACAACTTTGTAACACTGAAGAGTCCGAAGTCTGTGATGACAACTTTGCCATTTTCTACAAAAATATTTTTACTCTTCAGATCTTTATGTATGATGCCCTTTGCATGTAGGTAACCCATACCCTGGAAAAAAGAGTAGAAATAATATGCTAAATTTGTTTGGAAACTAGTACTTTACCTGAGATATTTGTTGCGCAACATTTGTCGTTTTATTCATATTGAACTTATCTTTTCTGAGATGTATGTATGTGAACAAAGTCATTCCTTTACTTAAACTTGTTACTATAGCTAGTTTAGGTGGTTTCATGCAAGCTCCCATAAATAAAATCAAATTTTCATGTCTCGTTTTTCGAAAGGTTGACACTTCAGTTTTGAACTGTTCGAGAGTTTTTTCGTCTTTCAAGTAATTCACATTGAGGACTTTAACGGCCACGTCACCATGCCACTGGCCCCTGTAGACTGTTCCGAACCTTCCAGTACCTATTACTTCACTCATTTTCAGTTCATGCCACGGAATGTCCCATTCTCTCATGGAGAGCTGAAAAATATTTCTTATGAATTTCAAACAATAGATCTCGGAAACAGGTCAAAATTGAAGGAAGTTATCTTTAGCTAAGTAGTATGAATATTATGAATGTGACTTCACTGATCATTCGAGTTAAAAAAATTATGCTCATTAATCTAAATAGAAGTTTCCATTTAATGCAACATGCAAAAAATTGTAAATACCAATTTTTATGTATGATAAACCATATAGTCCACAATCTTTCGAATGAAACAGAAATAAATAAAAATAAGAATTTTTTGTTGGTTAAATTATAATTTTTGTTATTGTACTCTTTTTGAAGTATAAATCAATTCAATCAACATTACCGAATTACAACAACTGAAATATAAAAAAATATAATAAGAAAGTTATGCATTTACACATACATATACATACACATATACATATATGTACATACACCAATACCAGAACAGAAACTCCACCAATTTCAAAACCTAGGAAGAGAAAACTACCAGCTTGTACCCACAACACGAGCAAGCCTAAGGCTGGGAAACCATGTGGTTTACCGGAGAAGAAGACAGGTAACTCCGCGTCAAACAAACCTGGGAAAAACTGGACTCTGCTCTTTGAAAAAAGACGGAATTCGTCCTATCAAAAAGACCTAAGAAACTAGCTGGCTCCTTAGTGACAAAAGGTGTTTTCACTTCGGCATCTATACTAACTCATCTCTCGACTTTAGGAGTGGCAGGGGAAGGTGTCGTAAATGACCTTCTATCTTCTTAGGTCGCAGATAAATAAGTTTGTTAGTGACACTTCGTTGCATTCAAGTACTTACAGGCAAGCTTTTAACATGCCAAAGCCACTTTGCTTACTTTCTGGGGGTTCGCATATAGTACCTCCTCTAGTAATGGAATGTGATATCAATTGATAATAGTGATAACTTAATTATTCCTAAGAAACTACATGTTTATAGTAGGTACAATGCAAATACATATTAAGGAAACATCGTCGGGCAGCATGAATATAAACTATAGTAGTGAGCTACTCTTTGATTATAACTGTTACTAGAGGAAGGGCTATCTATAATCAAAAATAACTTTTGTTACTAGTAATAGAAAAGAAATATTAGATTTAACAATCAGCTCATACTTTCTGAACAATAAGGGCTGAATCTACCGGAACCTTCCTATTCAGATCATAGACACATTCAATTCGAAAATGAAAATAGTCTAAGAGCAGTAGAGGAAATTCCCTTCAATTGTACTTTGAGGCCGTATTCAATATAATTTTCAGTTACAATAGATACAGTAGCAGAGCAATTTCGCAAAGTAGTGATCTTTTCTATCACAAGAACTGCCCTCTGAGAACTACAAGAGATCATCGAAACTCTTATTGTTGAAACAAAAGCTCTCAAAAGCTAAGAAGAGAAGTTCGATATTTATTCAATCAAGCTGAAGAGTCAGATGAGTGGGAGGTCTATAGAACTACTCTAATAATAATTTATACCAAAGGAATCAACAAGGCAAAATAGGAGTACTGAAAAAAGTTTTGTGAGAATATTTCTAAATGAAATTGAAATGGCTTGACAAAACATTCATGACCTCTGGAAAGGTAAGGCTAGAGCTTTTGATGGGAAACCACTTTCCTGGAAGTTTGACTTTTGAAACCGTTTTGATAATAGTTTGTTGGAAAGAACTCTCGACAAAGTTGGTAAAAGCAATACAGAATATATACAGATTCTAAAATAACCTTGAACCCAACAATAACACACATAGATATCTTTTTTTGACACAAACTAAACCCAAAAACACGGTTGAAAAAACGAAAGGGTGTATTTTCAATATATTTTATTGCTGTGGAAAAAGTTATATAGGTAAAACCTCAACATACGCTAGATGTGAGAAACAATGAACATCATGAATATATGAGGAGAAGACAACAGAATAGGGAATAGCGGAGCATATTCCAAAATCATCTGGTGATCACACTATAAAATGGAGTGAAACAAAAAATCACCATGGGAACTCATCCGAATATATCCTTTTAGGGAAAAGCGAATTTTGAGTTTTGAAAACGGATAAATATTGCTTTCCAAAAGGCCGACCACTAAAGAAACCTAAGTATAGAAATTGTATTTCTTTTAAAGTTGTAGGCAAAATTTATGAATACAAGTAACTGATTGAACGGTGGGCGAATTTTTCAGTTTGCCCTTCACAACACTTCAGCAGATTCTGTACTGATTTAGCTTTGTTTATTTTTCAGATTGTGGAAAGTTATATACCCAAAAACCTAACTTCAATACGTCATCCGTCTACTGGACACCTTGTATATTAGAACAGATCATTGATATCCAAAATTTTTATATATAACATTTTCCAAAAATTTCACATTTATCACAAACTTCTAATGAAAGCTTGATGACACACACTGTATATATGGCTAAAAAATGTATTATATGTTAAAAAGTACGTTCATTAATGATAGTTGACTTTATGCTATTATGATCTGCTTTATGAACACTCTATTCTCAAAATGAATATTACTTTTAATATAATGTCTAGTTTCACTTACACTATTTTGTCGGGGCCATCTATGCCCATCTGTTATCGTTTCACTATCAGAAACTTGGCTATCTTGTGAGTCAACTCTTACTGGGGTTCGGTCCGAGTCAGTACTAGTACTTTCAGATGTTTGTGATGCTGTTCTGTCATTATCTCTGGACTGTTGCGAATTTGTGAGGTCATGGTTGAAGGTGGATGTAGCAGGTAGCGGATGTGTTTCTAAAGTTACTTCTTTTATTTCGCTGTGGGTAACGTCTGAAATAATTTTTGAGAGTGAGTAGAAGACATGCATTCATTTTACTTTGATTACTACCTGGAAAATGAAATGTTGGTTTGTGACTAGAATGTGGTGTAGTTAAGATTTGAACTGCAGGACTTGATGGTGTTGAACTGTTACAGCTAGATGTATTTGAGCTCGAGTCAGGAGGCTGTAAGATTCAATGGAAACATGATAAAAATTATTATCATATTTGAATTTATACATTATCAATTAAGTCAAAAGTAAACACATTTCTCATTTGTTTTATAAGAAATACTTCATTGCATTCACAATGCATTCAATAGAATGTGAGTCAAAGTCATCAAACATATACATTATGTGACACACGAAGATGATATTGTAAAGCGAAACAGTGGAAATCTAACATTGAAGAGTGTTTTTCAAATATTTTATTCATCCCTGTTTGAACATGAGTCTCTTGGAATGATTTAAATAATATTTGGTCATAAAAATTTCCTTCTAGAAACAAATAGAATAAGTGTATTTTTACAAATTCATTTATTAATAAGTACAACATAATTTTTTGAAATTGAACAACAAATTAAATCACATTTTATTTGAGTATCTAAATGAATGTCCTTTTTGAATTATTACACTGCAAATATTTATTAAAATGTTCCAAGTATAGTAATATTGGTTATCAGTTGAAAGTAAACTCTACTATTTTACAATGACTCTAAGTATAAAAAATTGTAGATGGGGCTTCCACGAGTTTAATGAATTACCGAAAGAAATAAAAAAATATCCATTTCAAAAGAGCTCTTGAAGAATTGAAAAAAAAGTAATAAAACACATATTGTATAGTTATGTGGAATTATTTGGGACATTATTGGCTATCATCTATTGTTTTCAACTGTTCACTAGGGTATTTGTATCTGTAATGAAACCAAATATCACTGTTTTAATAATAATTTAATGTATATATGTACCTATATTTCATTATCTATTTAAATGTTACTCAACACATGATATTGAAATCTTTATATGTAATGTTCATTGTCTGGCTACATGCTAGTTTGAATCTCAAATTGTTTAAATTTGAAATTTTTTACATACATTTTTTTATATTTCATTGTGATAGTGTTATTATTACACTCATAGATATGTATATTAGGTTTCCTATTTCAATAAAGATTATTATTATTATTATTATAATGGTACTATGATAATTGGAACAGGCACATCAAAACTTAATTTGGAAAAGTCAAGTGGTTATTTTTTTATTGCAATAGATTGATTTACACTTTGAAAAATGAAGCCCCAGAAGAATACTACCATTTTAGGGAGGCATGAAAATCCCCACAATTATTTTAAAGGATACCTCACATTCAGGATATTCTATTGCAAACATTTTCTTTGGTTTGACTTCCTTTTTTGAGATACACTGAGATATGAGTATTTCCTACAACTATGTCTTTGAAAATAGCCTGACACACTGAACATAATAAAATAACTGATGAGAATGAAGAGAAAACTTACTGGGAATGGTGGAGTATTTATTGATGCCTGTGGATGTGAATTTTTCCTGGGTCTGTTCCTTGTGAGAGAATTTATAATATTTTTCGTATTACTGGCTCTCCCAGTGGTTGGGGAAACAAACACATTTCCTGAAATTTCATTGAACTAGAAACGTTTTAATGTTCCCTTGAATTAGGGTATTTTATTAAATCACTGAAAGCTTTGAATCAATCCATGATAAAATTCAATTATGAAAATAAAAAACTGTTAAGAAATAGAAGAATTATAAATTGGTAATTCATCAACATTCGATCAACTTCTTTTGAGCAAAACATACAGTTTTTTCTAAAGAAAATATACTACCTCCTTCCATGGTGAAGTTTTTCTTGAACTCGTTCAACAGTTCTGGCGGTAAACCACAAGACGGAGTAACTTTATCTTCACATTCTCTATGACAAGTATATTTGCACTCTTTACATTTCAGCCCGGTGCCAAAATAAATTGGCTTTTGACAATATCCACAAGATGACATCATTTTGAAAGTTTTAGTGAATCTATGATTGATTTGGTGAGTCATTATTCTACCCACCACTGTGGGAGTTCGTGGTGATTTTGGTACTTGTAAACTTATAGCTGAAAAGTAATATAATTAAAACTAGGAAACTCATGGGTTATAAACACACATTTATAACTATTATCATCACTGTCAGCTCCAGCGTTATTATAAGGGGGTGATTTGATGGGACTGGTGGGAATAGGACTGGTAAAACCCACAGTTTCTGGTCCTGGTTCTGTGGGTAACCTTCCTCTTCTACGTAAAGTTTCTGTTCCACTGAAAATCAAATGGAACAATTTATTCAAAACCTTCATTGACTATTAAAGACAAAATATAAAAAAATACAATGGTAATTGAAAGTGCTTTTACTTCAAGATGATCTCTTCTGAAAAATAACGATAATCATAACTTACAAATTTTGAATCACACTTAATTATATTATTATTTACCTATAGTTCATTAACGATTGAAATATGATACAAATGACAATAAAATGAAATGTGAAATCAACAATACATATGTAAACAGTTGGAGGTGTTAAACTAAATAACAGAACGAAAAATAAAATATACACAAATCATACATTTAGGAATTTTTTTTAAGAACAAAACACAAGCACTACAGGAAAATCCTTAAGGCGCTCTCAGAGCAGTGCCTGTGCGAAAGTAACGATTCACATTGGATTTGAATCGCTGGAGATTAAATCCTTTTGGAAAAAAGTTCTCAGGAAGTTTATTCCTCATAAACGCAGTTCTCCAGATGAAAGAGTTTTTGAACAGTGAAGTTCAAGGTGTACTGAGTTGAACCTCAAAACAATGAGCAGCCACAGTCCGTCGCGTATTTCCACCGCTCTTGGTGGAATCAAATGTGCCAAGTCACTTGAACATCTCCCGTGAAAGTAGCTATAGACGGGAGACAAATCTCCAACCTTTCTTTGATGTTCCAGGCTATCAAGGTTGCACGTGATGTTCGTGTCTCCAATCAGGCAGATGGCTCTTTTCTGTATGGAATCCAGCAACTTCAGGGCATGTTTGGGGGCAGAGCTTCATACATGAGAACAATACTCCAAAGAAGGTCTGAGCTTAGCTTTATAAAGCATTAAAACCCAACAAACTTATCAAAGCAGTAAACGGAATTGTCTGACCTGACATTATTATATCCGGTTCGGGGACCTTTATCGTTTTGGAGAAAACCTATGCCTGGGTTTTTGAGGCATTGAATTGAACCTGGTTACTTTCACTCCAAATCGAGATCACTTCTAGACCCTCATTAAGATATGCAACCTCCTGCTGCCGGTGAAGAAATAAACAACAATAGTTACATAACAAGAAAAAAATATATAATTATGTACAGAGCAACTTCCCAATCTGGTTCAGTACCAAAGATTTTGTTAACCCTACAGCTGGTTCAGAGCCTATATATGGAGTTGATGATCCGTGTCTGGCACAATCATCAGCTTTCTCATTGCCTGCGATATATGAGAGTCCTGGCACCAGGTATATAGTCAAAATATTCCTGTTCACTAGGTTCCTCAGTTAATCACGGTATTCCCAGACCAGTTTCCATGCCACTTTTCGGTTCATCAGTGACCCTAGTGCAGTCTGTGAAAATATTGATTAGCTAATTTTGTTGGGGCCTCAAATTAATATTTCTTGCACATTTCTAGCCTGTAAGACTGATGTGTACTGACCAAGTGGGTGAATAAAATGAAGATTTCTTCGGCACAGTAAATTCCAGCTCCAGTCTCATCTTCGGTTTTCAATCGATTTATATACCAGGTATTTCTGCCAATAAGGTTCTCGGGATGACTATTCATTTTCCACTCTTCATGGTTTGATGCTTTAACAGCGAAATTTGTGTTGAACATGTATTTTAGTGTCATGTGGTCTGGGGAACATGTATGATGTTCGCTCCTCCACATTTTCCGAAATTTCTGCTTTTACCAAATATTCAAGAGTGACTCCAATGCAGTTCTTAGGTTGGTTTTCATTCCTATCGTTACTCCCAAACATGCAAGTGTTTGCACCCTGCTTAAGGAGGACGCGCACTGAGTCGGATCGGAACAGAACAGTCGGAAGGTTTTGGTCTACGTGTGTTTGAATGCGCTGGATCGGATCGAAACGGCAGAGAATGCTAGAAGGGGCAAACACTTCCGAACGTTCTGAAGGTATATGTGTGTTTTGTGAAAATATTTTCAGTATTGCAGAGGTGTCTGACGAGATTTTGATAGAAGTAGTGAGGGAGTATGTTGTGTTGTACGATCCACAAGACAGATACTATCACGTCCATATTCGTGTTTCTGTAGGAGCGTCTGGCCAGCATCAGTGCTACCTCAGTTTTTCTTTTCGCTTGTCCTAGATGTTGGTTCCAGGTCAGTCCAGGATCCAATATCTATTTATTCATTATTTAGAGCATTGCCTATTTTTATAGAATGACCAACAAATTCACACATATGTACTATAACTATCAGATAGATGTAAGAAAAAATAAACAAAAAAAAAGAAACACAAAAATTAGCCAATCGATTACAATCCTATCAGTCTTTTTAAATGATTCCATAGAAGAATTATAAAATTCTTAATCCACATTGTAAGTGGATAATTATTATCATGAAAGGGTACTTTGAAGATTTCTGTATTTCTTGTTCTCTTTGGGTTCACATTTAACGTTATAAGTTTATTTGACTACTATCCAAGTGTATACAGATTATATAAAGAGGTAACAGAAATGCAAAATCACAGGGATCACTTCAATAGAAAAAAAAGAGGCAATGAACATCATTAAAGTTTGGCTACCTGTCCTTAGGGGTATACAAACAAGTTCAGGTAATCCAATTAAGAGAAATCAAGCCACCCTCACTAATGATATTATAAAACCAGAGCGTCTTAGCACTAACTCGGGCACTGCGACCGCTACCACATTGCCTTTGCCGCAGTCGTAAACGAAACGTCCGGCATTAAAAACCTGCAGATCACGACCAAAAAAACCCGGAAAATAGTTTTAACACAGTTATCTACGGCCGTGAAAGTTTGCACTCTTTGACCTTTTTGGATAATTACACATGTTCTTGGTGTCTCTCACAATCCCATGATCATTTTTCTGTTCACGCGATATTAGTTACGGAAGTAATTTTCCGGAAGGCGTTTGACAGATCCGACTGTGTAGAAATGTTGGGTGAGGTGAAGGTTTCAAATTTCAATTATATATAGTTATATTCGCACACTTCAAGAGACATTTTGTAAAATAGTAGCATTCAACTTACTTAGGGGGGTTTGTTTCAGTCTCTCCTTTTGTTGCAGCCAATTGTGATTCGTGCGACTTACTTTTTGTAAGTGGGTAATCTGGAATGAGAGTTGGTGCAGCATTACCTGTCAGATGTTTTCTCCTCGCAGGTGGTGTGGTGGGAAATTTCATACCTGTCAAATCATATTTTACTTTTGTGGAAGGGATTTATGGCACTAATAAACATTGAACAGTTTTGAAAACAAACAAAAACATTGTATGTTGAATATAATTCACCACCATCAAAAATGATTTCCAATAAAGAGTAGAAGAAATTCAAATATTAATATAAAACATTTGAATTTACAACTCAGAATTTATAAATGTATTGTTGTAAATCATGCCCTAAAAAAAATAACGCCGGCTGCCACTGGCAGCCATAAACCAATCGTGACGCTAAGAGCGTACATTGTTCGCTGCCGCTCTAGATGCAGCGAGAATAATGCTACCGATTTCGATAGAACTCTGGCGAAATTTTCTAGCGTATTTGATTACGATATATAAATGCTAGCCACGAGCATATCGACACAGTCAAGTGGAAGTTACAGTGCGGTACGCGAAGCGATCTAGTAAGGCGATAGACATTCGAATAGTATTTAAGTGTTAGTTGAAGTGTTTGTTGTATTTAAAGTGAAATAACATTAAGTTTCATTATTCAGTGTAGTCAATTATTGGTCAACCCACGGGGAAAAACGTAACATTTGGTGTCGGAAGTGGAGTAAGTTGACTAAAAATACTGTTTTATGGTGAAAACAAGGACTGTCGATTACGACGAGATGGGAGATCTTAAGAAAATGTTCGAGGGTTTTGAAGGAGGCCTGGCAGAGAATGAAAATCGCAGAAGAGAGGAAAAACAATTACGCTGAAATGAAGGTCGTGAATTACTAATAGGTATTCAAGAAAAACAGGATGGCGAATAGGCAGAATGGTTATGAAGCAGTTATCTCAACTTTGGAGGTCAGGTATGATAGTGAACACCTTCAACAAGTCTACCAAGTTCAACTGAAGGTGAGAACTCAGGTGAGTCCATCCGAAAGTTTGCAAGAGTTTGGGGCTGAAGTCGAAAGTTTAGTAAGACTCGCCGCCTACCCAGTAGCAACGGATAACTTAACCCAATGGATTAGTGTCCATAGTTTAATCGACGGGATTCATGACACGGAGCTGCCAAAAATGCTTCGCGACAATACCGAAAAGTTCTGGTGAGGGCCATCAATGAAAAGGAAGACGAAGGAACAGATCGACTCATGGTAGGTCTTGAAGAACTCTTCAACAAATATTTGATGAATGGAACTGCACCCAAGGCAAGAGGACGGCCTAAATGTTATAACTGCGGCAGAGAAGGACATTTAAGGCGGGATTGTCGACCTTATTCAACATCCAACGAAAGAAGAAACTGGCGTTCGAGACCAGCCGAACTGGAGCGTCAGGGTTTGGAAAAACCAAATTCAGCCTGCTTTAAGAGAAGTACATTGACTGCTGCATCCCAAGTCCCCAGGTATTTGATTTCCACGATAACATATCAGTTATCAATAGATTTCTGCATCATGACATACAAATTTGAAAAATTTCACTGTCACCCATAAATTAATTTGGATATACCAATTATACCTACATTATCCAAATTTCCCAAGTTTCTAGGAAAAATGGCAACACTGCATTCTTCAAGGGAATGTGTGACCAAGAAGTAACTTAGTATATGGCTTTTATGAAAAATTCATATATGAACATAATTCAATCATTTTTGATAACTGGGTGAATTGTACATGATTATTCAAATATGCAAAACAGTTGGGTACACATTTTCGAGCATCTCTCCCACAACAATTTAAATTTCATTCAAATAGTTATTTTTATTAGGAAAAAACGAATAGATGCAGTAAAGTGAAAACACAAATGTATTATTACAGCTACCGGACTGAGTCATGGCCGGTGGAAGAAATCTTATCTGCGTAAAGTTTGGGTCGGTGTATGACAAAGAAAGTATTAGGAGAAAAGCAATAGAAACTTTTGTTCACAATTTTACGTAGTACGGATTAAACAATAAATGGATATTAAAATGCCACTTGGGTTCTTCTAGATATATAAAAGTCAAGCTCACCAGCCATGACTCAGTCCGGCAGCTGTACAATAAAACATAAAACCTGACCTTTGTAAGCCTCTGAAGAATCAGAATGCAGCAATATATTAAATTATTCAAATGAGAAAGAGAAAAAAGCAAAAAAATCAAAAATATTTCCAATATTACATGATAATGGAACTGAAGAATTCTTAATGAAGTGTACAAAATTTCTACTCTCATTTTGTGAGGAGACGCAATAAAAAATTTGAGGTGTCATTCTCACTAATAATGAAATCATAGCACTAAGTGTATGATTTGCAATTGATATCATTATTTCAACTCAAAATAAAACACCTCGAAAAAAGGTAACATTAGTAAGTTGCATTTTGAATAATATTGCAATTTAAATATAGTAAATAATCAAAATTTATTTGTATGTTGATCACGTACGTGCTTATTCAATTATTCATACTGGTAAAAACTATTCATTAACTATTCTGATAATCTTTGATGAGAAATGACTGAGAAACATATTAAATCATACTGCTTCATTTGCTGATGATACAATCATTTTCTACCAATTAAAGAGTTGGTTAGACTCGTCACAATTGGTAATTAGTGATATTAAAATTATTGAACACTGGTTTGATGTTAATTTATTAACAATGAATCTTGAAAAAACAAAGTATATTCATTTCACTTACATCAAACAAAAAAAATTGACCAGCCTTTATCTCCTTGACACTAATTGGCAATGAATAAATCATAGACGTGAAGGATCTAAAATATTTAGGAATCCTGATTGACAAACTCCTAAAATTTGAATATTTGATGAATTCTATCATAAAAAAGTTGAGAATTTATCTTCTTTTAACATTTTTGAATATTTCCCAACTACAAATGTTATACTTTTCTTTAATTCAATCTGAGCTGACTTATGGTTTGTTGGGTTGGGTGGTATCAGAATTCTTATGGATATAAGAAACTCCAGTAATTCTTAATAAAATAATCCATAGAATAGACTATATTAGACAGAGATATAATTTGGAGTATATGTATTTTTCTATGTTGGGTACTCTGTGTTTTGGCCATTAGTGTGAGCTGTTATATGTAGATTAGGTTTGTATGGACTATTTTTCAATTTAATTTGATGAAATGAAAATGACTCTTCATTGTGTTCATGTCAAAGCCCTTATCAAAAAGGTTTTTGTTTGGAGAACTTGTATTTTTTTCTGGATTGGCTACTGTGTGTATTTGTCATTATTTATTTACCAATCAAGGGGTATGACATTAATACAAGTTGGCATATTGTAAAAAATATAACAAACTACTTGAATCTACCAATATAAACGAAAATAATAATTAAATGACTCAATAATTATATTAATTTATTTGAAACTGGTGGGCAATGTGATATCTTAAAATTATCACATATTGGACACAAAGTTACAAAAATCCTACCTGAACAACTTCACATGAAGAAATATTTGAATTTTTAGTTTATAGAAGCATAATTCTCTGATCACAACATTCATTCTCTTAAAAGATGCATATAGTTAGTGTGTACAGAATATTTTGGTATCCCTGGTTTGCATGATTGGAAACTTTAGAGAAATTTGGGATAATACACACGGGCCTTTACAAAAATTTAGGACTAAAACAAATATCTGAATTAATCCTCCTCTGCTCAAGTGTTTGTGAATTCAGTTGTTGCATTACATCATTATGAATAAATTGTGTGTTTTTTCTTATAATGTTATCCAGATTGGTATTGAAGGGCCCTAGGCGAGTGTCTTACAGCAAAATTTCGATGCCTACCAGTGAACATGATAGTGTTCCATGTAAGTGAAATTTTTACCTTTTATTTAGTATATTGTGTAGAAATCCTGTGAATGATATCTGATTTAATTCCATAACGAATGTTTGGAATACAAACTGAGTAGAGAAAAGTGTTTTCTGTATAATTCAGTGTTCATATACTCAAAAGTATTTGTTTCGAAAGAATTTTTCTTTCATGTAATTCATTGTTTATATGAAACTAGCTGTTTCTGGAAGGCTTTTTCTTCCAATTTGTGTCTGAAAGTTATTTCTTTGCATGATCGACACATCTATGTATGAAGTTACTTCTTTTAAAAGTGATTACTTCCTTTCTTTAAGATTCCCACATTTCTCTGTATCAAGATGGAGTAGTAGAAAGCCAAAAACGTTCTTTCCGAAAAATTTGTCACTCCTAAAAACATAACCCTTTCAAATTAATCAGTATCTCATATTCTCTAAATGTATTTTCAAGGTGGCCTACTGCAAAAAATTTTTTTGAACTAATAAAATATTTCAATCTTGGAAGATTGATTGAGACCACACTCTAGCCTTATATTCAAGCAATGTTTCAACCAGTATATAACTAGTAGTAAAGTATTTTTGTTATTTGAACTGATAAGTGCATGAAGAATCTTAATATTATGAATGCATGAGAAATTTTGGGTGAAATGTAAGTTTGGATTCAAATGTAACACTTGAATCACAAACTTCATCCACTTATTTCAAGGAAATGTTTACAAAAATTTATATTAATATGTGACTAGTGAATTAGTTTTTCAGAAAGTTATTTGATAACATTTGTTTATACTTAAATCTACCATATTAACTTTACAGCTTGCATTACAACTACATCATTTTCATCGTCAATAGTTTTAAACATTTTGAAGTCATTAGCAAACAATAGTGTCAGTCATCTTATCCAGTTATTTTTTATTTTTTCCATTTTTTGAGTTCCATTTGCTGATTTTACTATATTCACTTTTCATTTAGTATTCGTAATATTTAATTCAGTTATCGACGTGAACAATTAACATGAATACACTAATAACAAATTAACAAAAAACAACCCAGAAAAAAATGCGCTCAAATGAAATCCTCATCAGATATGATCTATTAATTGGGTGATTTAATTAACAACACTATTATTATTACTTCATGAGACATTTTTGTTTGTTCATCCCATCAAATATTGTATGACATTGTACACAATTAATAAATTTCATTATTATCATATTGTCATTGATTGCTTTTCTCTCTTACAAGATACAAATATCATGCACATGCATACCTTTCCCCTTGCCTTGGCCAGGGGGAGTAAGAGGAGGGCCAAGCACACACTGAGCATTCAAAGAGTTGATGCTAGACACTGAAGAGGATGGGGGGATATTCGCACCTCCCCTGTTATTATTGTTATTCAAAATTAGGCTGTCTTCTGAAGGTACAGAAGCTCTTGCAGCTCTTGAGCGAGCTGGTCGTGGGGAGAGGCCTCCTTTGAGTTGGTGATGACGGTCCCAAGAGTCCCAATACAAAAGCATATCTGAATTATCCTTATCCCCTCTCTTCAATACATCTGAAATAAAATTAAAGTTTATATTTGAACCACAATAAACAAAAAAAAAAAAGTACCGACTTAGGAACTCTTTGACATTTAACGCTATCTGTCCTATAAAATTAGCTATTCAAACATTCACTTACTTCGTTGTGCTTCAGAAAGTAGTTAACCTATTCAAATGTTATTTCATTGAACTCTTTGAGGGTTAAATACTATAAATGCAACAACACTACATCTGTAGATATATAAACAGAAAATATTTTCTGGAGTACTGAGTAGTGATTTTATGTTTTTTCACAATTTTTTAAAGCCTCATCTATTTAAAGTTCAATAAAATATTATAATTATTATAGGAAAACTCATTTAAGAAAAGTTTGAGGAAAAACTGGTGGAAAGTTATTAATCAGAATGAATCTCATGTGACACAGAGTGAAATATTATATGAAAAGTGTATAACGAAATTCAAAAAAGGAGTGTTAGGAAAAATGTTGTTCGCCAACTTTGTTTCCCCTTATGATTTTCGCTTCATCTCAATTTAGATATAAAAACTGAATATTTGTGTGACTATTCCAATTCTCTACATTTAATGAAAAACTTCCACAAATATGATACTTATTGATTATTCATTAATTATATTTATGTTTAATCACTTGAAAATGATGTTCTATTAACAATCATTCACACATGATGGAAAGTTGATTCAAATAATTGAAGACCATGTTAGAATCTCACCTGTATATCTTTTCAAGTTATGTAAAGCTCTACATAATCTATTTAATTCCTCTGGCTTGGCCCCATTTTCATTCAAGATAGACTTCAACTCGTGTTCAGACTTTTCTTGAAGTTCCTCCACTGATGTTATCTTTTGACATAGTCCTAGAATTCTGTTTTCTCCCAAACCTACAACATGTAGCCACTGCCTTATGGATGGAATATGTTCATCACATCCATTTTTCAGCTTCAGTTTAGTTACTAGTTGATCGGCGAACATTTTTATGAGCTTTCCCTAAGAGAATAATGTTATTTATCAGATGGTGAAATGTTGAAAGAAATTGGCATTTAAAATGATGAATTTGGGAATTGTTACCTCCAGTGTTCGAATTTCTTGTTGAGTTAATTCTGCGCTGGTAGCACATTGTGTTCTTAGTCCTTCTAAACGTTCAGCAGATACATCAATCATAGATTGGATTATATGTAGATTTTTTCGAAGTTCTTGCTCTGAACTCTCATCAGCCATCACAAATATCACAGTACTGTTACAACCTAATATTTACAGCTACTACCAGTAACACATATATTTACATATCACCTATATTTGCAGAATTCCGTTTAATAATTTGATGAATTTCGATTTCTGTCTTCAGCCATATTTAAAGTTTACTGACAAAACTTGACAAGAGCCACAAAAGCGACGTTGTCACGATGTAGGTATATTTCATTTCGTGGTTCTGTTGGTGGACACAAAGATACTTCAAGTGGTGTAATACTTTAATGAAATGAAAGTGATTATAAGAGAGGGTTACGGCATTTCAAAAATTTTGAACGCCATGTTTTTGAAAACATTGGAGGGAAAAAGTGCTGAATTTGTAATGATATGGAATGTATCCCGGATAATCCATTTTGTGATCCATTTTTTTTTCAGTAATACGTTATAGTCCTGGAGAACTATTTATTCAAAAATATGGATCCTCGAATACAAAGTTATTGTAACTTCCGTTCGACGGTCCGTTCCTCCGACAACAGAGAGGCCGTGGACTTTTGAGTTTGGAATGTCTACCTATATGACATAATTAAAATAAACGGAGCTTGTAAAGTCGTCAGGAGTTCAGATCCCTTCTTCTGCAAGGTGCGCGACCATAAAAGAGAGCTGGAATTGGAGCATTTCTCTTTGAGGCGTGAACGGGGCCATCACAACTCTGTCATCGAGTTCAGCAAAAAGCCCATATAAAAGCTACGTACATCACTTCACTCCTGCGGCAGTCGCGTGATGGGTATAGAGATTCCTGACACAAGGTGCAGAGCCTGTCGCGAGGCGTCTGAGACCCTCATGCACTTGCTGTCAGCATGTCCAGCAAATACGGTGCCAGCCTATATCCATCAACATAATGCGGCCCTAAGAGTGCTACGGCACTTTTACGGTATTGACAAGACACCGGTGTTGCCCTAGGCTTTGGGGGACATTGAATCCTTTTGGTGAAAGAGAAATGTCGAATTTATTGGAACTATTTGGCTCATATAAGCTCATAAGTCTGATATAATCTTTCTCGACCATCAAAGAAGGATGATATTTGTTGCGGAGTTTTCGGCTTATGGCGAGACGAAACTCGTCCGAAAAGAGAAGGAAAAATGAATAAAATATAAAGATTTTCTCTTCGGACTCCACAGAATCTATCTAGACTACTCTATCAAGAGGATTGTTCTGATTATTGGACCCAATGATCACTTACCTCACGGTGCGGGGAGTGGCCACTGGTTGAAAATGCTGGCGTGCCCTCCTGAATGTAACGGAGCTCCGAGGGATAGAGCCCAACCAGAACAACCTTAGGTTGAAAAAAATAATAATGCTAATTGCTCTGATTGTTGGATTCCTTGGTGGGATGATGCTTTTTATATTCTTAAATCTCAAGGTTATGCCGGCATGCCACAGTAAGGCAAAAATCTCAGCCAGACTAATGCAGAAGGCTGTCATTCTTGCTGCGCTTGCTCATGGAACATGAATTTTGGACCCAATGATCACTTACCCCACAGTGTGGGGAGTGGCCACTGGTTCGCCACGGACACTCGCATAGGACATGCCTGACAGTTTCATCTTCCTGTTCACACATCCTGCATGTAGGTGTGTCCACTAGCCCCATATTATGGAGGTGTTTCCTTAGTTGACAGTGGCCGGTCAGAAATCCTACTGTTAAGCATAGATTTTTCCTGGTCATCGCTAGATAATTCTTCGGCGCCAACTTCCCAGGGACGGCCAGGGTGATCCGGCGACGGCGACTCTTCAGCCATGTCGTGCCCTTTAATCCACTTCAGGATAATGTTATTATCTACCGAGGCTTTGGCTAAATCTTGGTGGCACTCTAGTACTAGCCCTGAGGTAACACGTTGTCTGTTCTAGGTTAATAGGACTTGTCTGCTATCAGTGCAGATTATTATTTTTTTGCCAGAAAATCCTTTCCTGGTTATTTCTTTTATGGCGATTGAGATTCCAGCCAGTTCTATTTGAACCACGCTGGTATTTTTTCTCATTCTCCACTCAATCCTTAGGCTTAGTGATCTGGAAAACATTCCACATCCTGAAACTCTTTTTGGTTTTTGAGCCGTCTGTATATATGCGTATTGCATTTGTAGCATCTGACCTTGTGCTCTATTTTATTTGTATTTTGTAGGGTTTATTAAACACAAACCTGGGTACAATTGCATCAGTGGTTGCCTGCATCAGATGTTGCGCAGTGTGCGCTTCTCGCTATAGGCTCTGTCTCAATTGACCCATTCCTACTTCGAGGTTAAAACCAGCCGTGTGCAATCGTACCGTGGCCATTAACACAACCTTCTTAACGTATAGGTACAGAGGGGACAGACCAGTAATTAATGCCATTGCCGCGGTTTTTGTTATTCTCATGACTCCTGTGCTGTTTAAACAAGCCAATCATTGTATTTGATATAATTTTTGGACTGCCGTTGCTTGAAGAACTTTCGGGGGGATCAATCCCCCTTGATCCACCCCCTGGCTACGGCCTTGATAATGATGGTAATTACATTATGGTTCTGATTGTCCTTGGTGGGATGATGTTTTCTATATTCTTAAATCTCAGGATTAAGACAAAAATCTCCGCCGGACTAATGCGAAAGGTTGTCATTCTCGGTTCATTGTGTTTACTTAGGGCACACGATTCTCGGACCCAATGATTACTCACCTCACAGTGTTGCGAAAGGTTATTGATTGGTAATGCCGGCGCGCCCACCGAATGTGTCGGAGCTTGGAGACAACGTTCGACCGGTGCAATTCTTTAGGAAAAAAGTTATTAATATATTCTTTTTTCATACGTTTTGATACAATACTGAACATTTATGACGATATGTTCTATGATTTGAAGTTATTTATCAGGTCATGTTTGAAAGTTAGTGAATATACTTCAGTATTAGTAAAGGACGATACGATACAACATTTGTATCAGATTTGTGAGAACAATGTTTTTAAGAATACCTGAAAAATGAGCCAATGAGAAGTATGAAAAGTAGATACTTTCAAAATAAACTCTGCCCCCAAACACCAGAATTGTAATACTCTTTCTGACTAATTTCTAACATTAGCCTATACATAACACTTTCACTTTCATTTATTGTGAAACTAGAGTAAGTCATATATCAAGGATTTTTTGGGTAAAATTTAGCGGGAAATTTTCTCGTGGAAGTTCCAGCTGATAATAACGGAGTAATTCATATAAAAGTGAATAATGGGCTGTTTCGAATAGGACCTGTATCTATGTTTAAAGTTCTCATGCCACATTTTTCTAGTTCCAGAATATCGAAAACATCCAGTAGCCTAGTATCGTATACCGATCTTAACAATTTTGGACAGCATGCATTTATTCTTTGATTGTTCTTTAAGGCGTGTTATGCGACACTTGACTTTTTTGGTCTCCAAAATCGGATATGTGCAATGTGTTCTTTGAAGAAACGAGTTTGAATACCTCAATTCAGTTTACCCAATATACTTTTTGTCACAATCCTCACAGGTAGTTTCATATATTACCGACCTTTTTCTCTAAAATCTTGTCTTAAGGGTTACCCAACAGTTTTTGAAGTTAACAAGCAGTCTTGAATCTTTTTAAGCTCAGTAAAACTCTGGAATTTATGCTCATTTTCATAAAACCTTAAAATGAGCATACATTATAAATAACCAGTTTGAAAAAAACGATTTAATGCCTTAGAATATTTTAGGTCATATGGAATAATAATGATCTGTGAATGAGTGCCTTTTCAAAAAGAAGGAATGTTAAAATAAACATCTATTGGTATTTTTGAAAAAGGAATTTTGGTATTTTTCAGAACATTATACATATATTACTTTCATGTACAATGTCCCATACCTTCCTTCTTAAATTGTTCAAGAATATAAACTATTTCCAGATTTATCGAGAAAATTAACAATAAAAAATGAAAATTTTTGGCATTCTACTCCATCATCAAACAATAAATGTGGGAAACGTACAAAGGAAGGACGAAAGAAAACGACTCGTTATGAAGATAAGATCATGAATAAAATCCCTTCCAGTAGGAACGTTACTGAATGTAATATAATAATTTTTTCGTTCTAATCTCTCCTAAAAATAACCGCTTTTCAATTAAAAAATGAAAATTATTCTGATAACAGAAATTCACCTCAGGCGCTGAGAGATGACACATACTTTTAATAACTGTCAGAAGTGTCAATTGGTATAAATTTTTAAAATTTTCAGTAGTACAAAACACAATATTTTCAGGAAATGAATGTACAAATCCATTGATGCTGATGTTATTATTGTTGGAGCAGGATTATCTGGTTTAACTGCAGCATATCATTTATTGAAAAAAGAACCATATTTGCGAGTTATAATTTTTGAGTCCTCCGGTGAGTAACTTCAAAACTTTTTAATTTCTGTAGAACTCTGAAATTTGTACTCATTTCCATAAATCCTTAAATAATGAGTATGAATGATGAAAAATAGTATAAGTAAATGTATAGAAGTATATAATATGTGGACCAAATTGATAGAGCTCGATAAAAACAACGTTTGTATCGTCATTCTCTTTGCATCTTTATCATATATAGGGTCTTCCATTAAGTTTTTTCTATATATCTTTAAATTCAGATAAAGTAGAGTGTGTGTGAGATATCGACATTTTTTATTCGTTTGAAAGATCTATTGATGCCATTACGTGTGGAACATCGTTCAAATGTCCTCCACTACTTCACTGGGGGACCGCACCCGAAACGTCTGATTTTTCATGACTATGGTGCATAAATCAGGCTGAATTTGACCGATGGCATGGGTTATGTTGGCTTTGAGGACCGCTGTGGTTTGTGGCTTATTCGCATACACCTGCGACTTGAGAAAAGAGAATGTCTAACGAGGTCAAATCACATGATTTCGGAGGTCAGTTTACATCACCTCCACGTGAGATGACCATGTCCTCAAATCGCTCATGCAGAATATCCAATGTGGCCTGAGCTGTGTGGCACGAAGCGCCGTCCTGTTGGAACTACATGTTGTTGGTGTACAGATCATCCAGAAGTTGGTAATCATCGACCCAAATTCCAAACAAAATGGTGACTTTTTCGGGATGCCTTGGGCGCTTTTGGATCTCGTATGGATTGATTTTGTCCCAAATCCCACAATTTTGTTTGTTCACGAACCCTTTCATTGAGAAATGGGCCTCCTCAATGAAGATGATTTTTCAGTGAAAATTAGGGTCAGTTGCCAACTGCTACAGAGTCCATTTAGCGAGCACTCGTCATTGTCTATGGTTGTTCACCTTCAGTTCCTGGGTTAGTCGAATTTTGTACAGGTGCAGGCTCAAAACACGACGCAAAATTTTCCAAGTTGTGGTCTGCGAAAGGTCGAGTTCTTGTGAGCGACCCAAAACTGACTGCCCAGGATTCTTCTGCATATTCTTACAGACAGTGGGAATGTTTATGGGAGATCTTGCGTTTCGTCGACGAACGGGTGTTGGTCGATCGTTAAATGAACCAGTGTATTCAAATTCATTCGCCACATTGCGAATAGTCCTCTCGGTATGACGATTATGGCGACCGTAAAATGGGCAAAGCGCGCGTTAAGTTGCCCGAACAGAACACCCATTTTGATAAAACATTTTTATCATATGCATGTGTTGTTGAATGCTATATCCGTTCATGGTGATTGGGAAAACATACTTAATAAATGACGACCATTTTGACAGATGTAGGTTCAACAAGATGACCGTTTTCAATTGTCAAAGTTCGATAGTCCCTATTGGAAGACCCTATATATGTACAAAAGAGGTTTTGGAAGATACTTGACTGTTATTCTTTGCTAGTGTTGAAAATATCTACTAACAATGTGCATGTGTATACTGCTCAAAGACAACCAAAATTGACTTACGTTTCATTGCCAAGACAATGAGAAAACGATATGTAAGGAACCACTGGTGAACACGCCTCTATTATACCAACGCTAAAATTTTGAGTGTAAACAACCTAAGTTCTCTTTTGCACCCGCTCAGACATTATTGACCTCATAGACGTTTATGTACCTCCGACAATGCGCTTCTTCCACTATAGTTTTGGCATTCAGAAGTTGAATTAATATATCAACAACTACCAGACTAGTATTCGCTGTCTTAATATTGATCATACATTAATTGCATGTTGAGGTAACAATTTCGGGTGTTCAATACAAAACAAATGACATTAGTATATCATCTAGATAATTTATATTTTAGAACAAATTGGTGGAAGAATACCTTGTTCCCCCTTTACTAACTCAAGCGGTCAATGGGTATGTAGCGAACAAACTCAACTGCTGGAATTACTAGAAGAACTACATATACCTCTAATAAGAACTCAGACCAACCCAGGCAATATTGTTATTAAGTATAAACGTATCAGTACAGCACAGAAGAAGAAAAATATACTCGATTTTTTGACGGCGACAGAAAAAATTCAGTTCACCAAATTTATTTTGAAGGTATAATTAACATTCTTAAGATTCAAAACCCTTTATGATATTGAAAAGAAATGCCCACTGGGAACTGTTTAATAAAAGATATACCAACTTATAAATTTTTTTAATGAAAAAGGTTACAGATCTATTCTTTACGATTCTCATTTTAATTTTCTCTCATCTCTGACAATTATCCAACTATTATATTCTTTACTTATGGGTTCTTTTGAAATAGATCCTTATTGTTCGATCTTTGACTTTTATTCTCGATAAAGGACTGAAGTCTTTTACAGTTTTCTCATATATATATATATATTCTTCTACTTACGATGGAAGTAAAATGTTTATACACTGGTGAATTCTGGGTTGCTTTTTTTTTTAATTGTAGACCGAATAGGGTAATTCTGATGTTACAGCAAGATGGTGCCAATAGCCACTGTTCCTTAATTTTAGTGACCATTTGATCTTTGATTAATAATATTACCAATACTTTAATTTCTTTATTAAAAACAGATAATACTGATAATAAATTCGTTCTGTTGTATGCTATTTTAAATGGGGTGTATATCGTTGTGTAGGTTATTTGAGGTAAGGATAATTTGTAAAGTATTCAATAAAATAATAATAAATAAAAAAAATAATCTTGGCTACGTATCGGTTTGAAGTAGAAGGCAGAATTATTGAAAAATTCGTGTAAACTTAGTTAATTGTGAGAAATTTCACATTTTCTGTTTATTCCAGAAATCGTTCAACGGTCACCAATCTTCTGACTGTAACCCAACATATTGCTGAATCTATTGATAATATGGTCCAAACTGATGTTATTTACACATACTTTTCTGAGGCCTTCGACATGCTTGACCATGGCATTCTACTAAACAAACTAGTAGCCTTTGGATTATCTCCATTCTTAATCGCACTCTTTCAGTTGTATTTACGGAATCGAAAACAATATGTTCAGCTCAACGGTTTCAAATCTACCGAATATAGTGCTTCTTCCGGTCTTCCACAAGGGTCAAATCTGGGACCGTTGCTATTCAATATCTTCATTAATGATATGACAGATGTATATTTCCTTTTGTATGCCGATGATCTAAAACTATACTGCTTTGTTGAGAACTTAGATGATTGTGTAAACCTCTCAGCAAACGTAGGACGGGTTGTAGAATGGTGTTATCGAAATAACTTGTCGCTAAATCAGGATAAATGTAAGGTCATGTCTTACAGTTTAAAAACGAACATCTTGATCTTTGATTATTCAATAGAAAACTTTTCCCTGGTGAGACCAGAAACATTAACTGATCTTGGCGTCACATTTGACACTGCACTATCATTTAATAGCCACATCGATAATGTGTAACCTCCTCCTGTCGTTTGTGTGGATTAATTGCACGCAACAGTAGTGATTCCAAGGAAACTTCGACCTTCAAATCTCTATTATATGCTTTCATAAGATCAAAGTTAGAATACGCGTCAGTTGTGTGGAACCCCTTTTATCAATATCATATAGATACGATAAAAGCAATTCAACGACGATTTTTAAAACTGCTAGGCCTAAAAACTGATGGCATTTATCCTCCAATAGGAACAACCCAATCTGAATTGCTACAAAAGCATAACTTTTTCAGTCTCGAAAAAAGGCGTGAACATTATAGTGTTGTACTAACCTATAAAATTATCAAAAGTATAGTTGACTGCCCAACATTACTGGAAAAGTTTGATATTTGCATTCCTAAAATCTGTTCCAGACACCCGAGTACTTTCTATATAAAAACATTTCGTGCAAATGTTCTGGAGAATTCTCCGATCCATACCATGTGTAAAGTGACAAACTCTGTTAGCGATAATTTAGATATATTTAGGTGCAAATTGTCATATATAAAATCCCACTTACTGAAATAATTGTTTTGTCACCTATTATACATATAAAATGTATAGTCTTTATAGTCACTTGTTTGTGATGTATTTATTATACTCTGTTATTTCCTGCTCTGTAATTGGGCTATGTCCTGTGGAATATTGTATCACAGATAAATAAATAAATTTAAAACACTATATAAACGAGGAATATTTTTTTAGACCAAGTTAGATAGGTGCGACCAGTTTAAGTAGGATGCGACAGTTATCGAGTTGTATTTTCTGTATTTTCTGAGAAATGAAGTATATTCAGGTTACGGTTTGACTACTCTCAACTGGACTAATGTGGCAAACGTAGAGTGGGAAAGGACATAGAATATTCGTAATCCTTCAGTTTCTTGACTTGCTTAACTATCACGTATTTTTTTTCATGATAAAGTAAATTCCTCCACGTGGACACCCGGTTCATCCGGCCTCCAACCGGCGTGAATAGGATATCTCCACTTCGATCTAGATACGTTATCTCTTTTAGTCGCAGGAAGCTGAAGTCTTTTTATATGGGTATACCTACGTTATCTTTAAGTTGTTAAAGTTAGTGTTTTCACAAGTTGTTGTATGAAGGAAATTTCCTAAGAAGTACAACTTTTCATCACCTCAGTTGAAAGATGATAATTTTAGTTTATCATAATTTACGAAATGACGTGTATGAATAACAATTTGAATCACAAAACTTTTATAGGTGGAAATTATTTGTCGAAATATAAAAGAAGAGACAAAACCGACATGGATAGATGAGTTACGAAAAATCACTTTGAGGACGTTCATACAAGATACTGTAGGCAGTGACACTGTGAGATTGGTTATAGATTTTATGATATACCTAACGTGTGGTGAGTATTTAAAAAATCCCTCATTTCATTGACCAACGCTCTTATTACGTAGAAAAAATATCACTCGACAAAATTAATGATGTGAACACAAATACTGCTTATGAAACCAGAACAGTGTGTTTCCATCGACATCATCATGAGATGATTTTCAACTATATCAGTACAGAGTACAGGTTATTTCCCATCTTAACACGAGTATACTTCATTTTCTGTCTCACTGCTTTCAATCAGTGATTATTTAAATTGTATAATTTTCGATGTACCTGATTTTTTCTGATACATTTCCAGTAGCAATCCATACTTTGCAGGTGTAAAATCCTCACAAGTGTCAGCCTTATTTTATGTACTATTCTGTATTTCCACGAAGGGCATCATACACCAAATGATAACCGAAGAAAAAAACCTTTGCGAATTAAGACTGAAGGTTGTATCTGATATTCCTGTTATTATTTCGTTTCAAAATATTTCATTTCAGAATAGCTTAACTAATATTTGTGAAAAACTTGCTGAAAGAATAGGCACATATTATATTTTGACCAAAGAAAATGTTCTGGAAGTGGAATGTACAGACAAGTATGCAGAGATTACAACAAATCTGGGTTCATACTGGTAAGTCAAAATATAATGTGTATTCGAAGATTTACGACTAATTTATAGAACGATTGACTCTTTTTAAAGTAATATTATTCCCAACTCGAGCTCACCTTCTAACACATTAGGAGTTCCACCCCGGATTGGAAGATATCAAAGGCGAGTTTTTAAAATCAACAGAAAATTACTGATGGATTGCTTCAACCAATAGAAACGCGCTACTGCTTCGAATGGACCAATAGATGAATTTATCGGATCCATTGGTGGATTCATCGATTATTTTAAGAACTCGTCTTGAGCTATGAACTTGTTTAAATCTTCATTTCTATAAAAAATCTCATATAGTCTCTTGTCTGCACCTTAAAATATTCAAAGTCAAAGGTTACACAAAATTCGTTTTTTCGCAAATATTTCACTTCCCATGACTCCCATGATATCTGTAACTTTGTTTAGAAATTTTGTTTTGAATGTTTTTCTAAACACTAACATTCATAGCATACTGCAAGGTCAACCACGAGTCCCAGTGAAACAACCGTCTTATAATGTTGATTTGTAACTGCGAGATGCCTAATTATTTGCATTATTTGTCAATTTTCAAGCCACCAGAAGACGATGATGAAGAAGAAGAAAAAAGTTAAGGCGCATGTTGGTTATTGAAATTTATGTAAGTTCTGCTCACAATTGGAAGTTGTTCAGATATAATTTGTTGAATGAAACATATTATTATATGTTGGATGTAGCCGTTACTACGTGGTAGGAAATCATAATGAAGAAAAGGGAATAGAAACTTTCTATATTTTTTATCACTTTTATTTGTAACTAACGTTAATGCAGTTTCGTTCTGTAAGGACATTTTCAAACTTTTACATTAAACTCAATGTTTAAAAAACATAGAAAGTTGAAAAATAGTATGTGCGTTCACAAAATAAGGTGAATTTTCTTTTATCTAAAAAAATATTTATTTGTCCATCAATTTCTATTTTATCCCCTTCAAAGTAGTCCCCCTTAGATATGAAACACTTGTTCTAGCGTTTTTCCAATCCTCGAAACAGTTCTGTTATGCACTTTTTGGTATGTCTTTGAACTGTCTCAGCGATTCGATTTTTATCTCTTCAATCATCATGGGTCTCTTTGATCTTGGGAACATGAAAAAGTCGCAGGGGGCCAAATTTGTTTAATACGGTGACTAAAGCATAATTACGGTGTTGTTTTTGACCAAAGAACTACAAACAACCAATGACGAGTGAGTAGGTGCCTTATCGTGATGCAAAAGCCATAAACTGTCTTTTCACAATACCGGACGTTTTCTTCGTATTTTTTTTAAGGACAAAACACAAGCACTACAGGAAAATCATTGAGGCGCCCTCAGAGCGATACCTGTGCGAAAGTAGCTATTCACATTGGAATTGAATCGCTGGAGATTGAATCCATTTGGAAAAACGTTCTGTTTTCCAGATGAAAAAGTTCTTAAACAGTGAAGTTCGAGGTGTACTGAGTTCAACCTCAAAACGATGAGCAGCCACAGTCTGCTCTTTTCTGGAAGGAATCCAGCAACTTCAGGGTATGTTTGGGGGCAGAGCTCCATACATGAGTTCAATACTCCAAAAGGTCTAATCTGAGCTTTATGAACCATCAAAAGCCTTTGCAATTTCAGCGACATGATTGTGCCCAGTAATATTGGTGTCCATTTTAACCCCCAACAAACTTATCGAAGCAGAAAGCGGAATTGTCTGTCCTGACATTATTATACCCGGTTCGGAGACATTTATCTTTTTGGAGAAAACCGATGCCTGGGTTTTTGTGGCATTAAATTGAACCTGGTTACTTTCACCCCGATTCGAAATCATTTCTGGATCCTTATTAAGATTTGCAACCTCCTGCTGCCGGTGAAGATGTGCCTCTGTAGCCGATGTTCTGGAATCCAAATGAAATGACGAGACAAGTGTGCTGTCGTGAGCGAAACAATATATTGGATTCTTGGTTTTATCAAATAAGTCATTGATATACAATAAAAAGAGGTTTGGAGACAATATGGATCCCTGGGGAACACCAGCGTTGATGGTGAAAGTATTCGAGAGATATCCATCGACGACCACTTGCAGGAAACAAGAAGGAAAAACCCATTTCTTGTAAGACAGGTTGAAAAGTCTGCAAAATACTGGTGCGAGTTCATTTGCGCACTTTTTAGGTACGATGACGGGCACTTCATCAGGGCCAGACACCTTGTTGATCTTGAGCTGTTTTAAAATTCGCCTGACTAGACGCTGTCGAAAAGTAATTTCCGGGATTGTGGATTCTAGTGTGGGAATAGTGGATGTTGCTTTTCCCAGTAAATCTATTGTGGAGTGGGACACGAATTGTTCAGCTAGAAGAGTTGCTTTTTCTATGGCTGTTGTTGCAACTGAACCATTCGCTTGTGTTAGTGGCAGAATTGTAGATTTTGTAAAGTTTTGATTAACAGCTTAAGCTACCGACAGGAAGGATCTAGACCCGTTGGGACTGGCAAACAGTTCATCTCTAATTCTCTGATTGTGGAGTTCTTTGCTTTCATTTATCCTGAGTTCGCAACTATTGCGAGCATTAACAAACCCAGTTCGGTTTTCGGCATTGGGATTTTTGCGCCACTGCCGGTAGGCGAGTTTTTGGAGGCGACAGCTTGCTCGCAGTTTTTGTTGACCTAAGTTTGCCGTTAAAAGGTCGCATAACTTCAAAGTTATACTCTCCTTACTGATTATACAACCATGTACACTACCCCACGGTAATCAAAGAAAACAGTGGGCAAAACCTTGACATTTGATCGAACTTGACGTTCTTTTTTGATCTTGGCTTTCCTGGCCTCTTCCATTGGGGCGATTGGACTTGAATTTTGATGTTCAAACCATATATCTATGATTCGTCACCATTTATGACCCTTTCAATCAAGTCTTGATCGGCGTTGACGTCATTCAACAATTTCTGAGCGACGTTTTTTTGTTGAAAATTTAGTAATTTTGGAACGCTTCATGCCCGAAATTTCTGAAAAAATGCATGGCATGAGCCAACCGACATGCCGACATCCTTGCAACTTCTCTAATAGTGATTCTACGATTTTCAGAACAATTTTCTTCACTTTCTCAATATTTTCTCCAAAAAGATGTCTTCGAGCCGGATATGATAATTGGCATTGCAAAAACCGTTTCTCAAAAGCTCGAAACACTGTTCCGAACCAGAAAACTGTACACACCTCAGCAACTTTTGATGCTTTATGAAGCTCAGATCAGACCTTCTCTTGAGTATTGTTCTCATGTATGGAGCTCCGCCCTTAAACATAACCTGAAGCTGCAGGATTCTCTCCAGAAAAGAGCCATCCGCGTGATTTGAGACTTGCAACCTTGATAGTCCAGAAAGGTTGGATATGTGTCTCTCTTTTATAAATACTTTCACGGGAAGTGTTCAAGTGACTTGACACATTTGTTTCCACCAAGAGCGGTACATACAGTACAACTGGACAAGGAGTAAAAAATTGAAATTTGGCAGACATGTGCAACTTGTTGAACCCTTTAATAAAAGTCATCAAAAACAGGGTTGTCATTTAAAAAAATTATCGATGAAGTCATATCTCATATTTGAGACACACTGTATAATTTTTTTCACATGAAAATAAGGGCATATTTCCGAAAGAAACAACACCTTTGATTTAGTGAATTTGTTCCATGTTAGAGAGTCGCACTGTATAAAAAATGCGCGACGGACTGTGGCTGCTCATTGTTTTGAGGTTCAACTCAGTACACCGCTTAAGAACTCTTTCACTTGAAAAGCTGTGTGTATGTGGAATAAACTTCCTGAGAACGTTTTCCTAAATGAATTTAATCATCAGCACTTTCGCACAGGCACCGCTCTTAGAGCGTCTCATGGATTTTCCTGAAGTTGTTAAAAAAAATCCTGTGTTGTTCCTGTGTTGTTAAAAAAAATCATGTTGTTTACGTGCTGGAGCGTCCACATCTTCTGCGAAAAGCTTGTACCTAAATTATTCTGATTCAGAGTACAATCACCGTATGTCACTGTTAACATTTCAAGTGTTTCTGAGCACTCATTTCCATTTTTCACACAATATTTGATGAAAACAGAAAATGTTCTAGACGAGTGTATCAACTTGAAAAAATCGTAAATCGAATGTAGTTAACCCGCGAAACTTGAGTAGTATTCACCTCATTCTTTGAACAGTCCATTATATAACTGGTTGATCAACAACGGAAGCAAAATTATTCACAATTATGGATGTTTGAAGGTGGATGACAATGTTTCGTGGTGTATTTCATCAGTTCGGACTTTCATTGTCTAATATAATATAAATTGATTTGATAACCCTGAAAAAAAAAACAAGATTAACCAAAAATAACAATTTTATTAAACAAAAAACTGAAATTACAAAGAAATAACATACAAGCAACAACCAAACAACTAAAAATTGAAATATTGATAAAAGCTGAAAAAATTGAAAAAATTAGAAATATCATTAACAAAAAATGAAAAAACTAAAAAAAATCAAACCAAATTATGTCACAACTATTTATAGGTCATTCGAGTGCTTTCACCTATCCCCTCTTCCATCTTTCCGCGCTTCATTGGTTTTGGCTGGAGATGACCATTTGGCGGGAGTTGGTCGTTTTTCGCTTGATTAGAGGTTTCCATATGTTACGTATCTCTATGCTAGCTTGACTGAATGCGTTGTTGGACAACATATACGCGGCTTCTTTGAATTTTCTCCTAAACCAGCGTTCCTCTTTGTGGATGATTTCAGCTTGAGCCCACTCGCTGTGTTTGTTTCTTGTGCTCAGCAATGTGAACTTTCAACGACCTTTTAGTTTCACCGATGTATGACTCTCCGCACTCGCAGAATATCCGGTAAATGCAATTCTTGGAATCGCAGTCCGCGTTTGGTGGCGTATAGTGATATAATCTGATTTTTAAGGTCAGATATGAGAATCTCGCTCTGTTGAATTTTCTTTGAATTTTCTTCCAGTTTCTTATCAGACACATTGTTTCTTTCCTTGAGCTCCTTCTTAAAACTTTTCTTTTCGTTATTTGAGAGATCCAGTTCTGCCATGAGGTCATCTTTTACTTTTCTCAGGCTGCTATTTTCTTTTTGAATAATTTTGATTTCATTCTGAAGCTTCTCTTTCAGTTTTTCTTTTTCCGCCTGTAAGTTTTCCAAATTGTTTTGGTACTTGTTCGCAAGTACTTCAGCTTTTTGTTGTAGCTGTTCCATTTCACTTAATTTTGACTGTGCTTCCTCCAATTTACTTTTCAATAACATTTTCTCTTCCTTCATCTCTTCAATTTCGTTTTCATATTCCATTTCTTTCTGCTTCAAGATTTGCTTTTCCTCTCTTAAACCCTCGAGTATTTTTTAAAATCCTGTTCATTTTTGTTTATCCTGTTCTCTAACAAATTTTTTTCATTCTCTGATTGATCTTTCAGAATTTTGAATTCATTTTCATGGTTTGTTAGGATCTGTTTCAATTCATTCTCAAGCCTGATATTCTCTTCTAGAATTTTGTTATTAGTTTCATCAGAATGCTCTTTTGAATTTTGTTCGGCTAGCCTCAAATTTTTATTTTCTTCTTGCAATGTTTCAATGTTTTCTAATAACTTGGTAATGGATGCCTCTAGTTCATTTTTTAGTAAAATATTCTCTTTGCTCATTTCCTCAGTTTTATTTTCATATTCCATTTGCTTTTCCTTCAAGGTTTGTTTTTCCTCTTCTAAACTTTCAAGTATTTTTTTATAATGCTGTTTAGTTTCCTCTATCCTGTTCTCTAATATTTTTTTTTTCATTTTCTGACTGCTCATTTAGAATTTTGAATTCATTTTCCTGGTTTGTTAGAACTTGTTTTAATTTATTATCAAACCTTATATTTTCTTCTAAAATTCTGTTATTAGTTTCATTAGAAAGCTCTTCTGAATGTTGTTCAGAAAGTCTCAAATTATTATTTTCCTCTTGCAATGTCTCAATGTTTTCTGATAACTTGGAAATTTTAATTTCACAATCTTTCAGATTTTCTAATAACAATAGTTTCTCACTTTCACATTGTTCTTGGATGATTTTAACATCATTTTCTTGGCTATAAATTTGGATAAGTTTATTTTTCAACTCATTTTCATTATGCTTGTGATCATCTATTTGCTGTTTCAAATGTTGACATTCAAATTCCATACTGCCGATGTACTTCAAAAGAGTGATTTCTGCCCTTTTCAGTTGATCTTTCCAATTTTTAACTTGATCTGTGTATGCTTTGAAAACATCGAGAACACTATTTTTGTCTTCTCTCAGCTGCTTAGCGGTAGTGGCAAATTTAACAATTTTAGAATGGTAGATTTTAACTTTTTCTTTGACTTCCATGTTGTCCTTTTCCAACTTTTTTATTGATTCTTTCAATTCATCTTCTAGTTTCAATTCCTGCGTTAAGTCAGTTATATTCTTATTTTTAGTGTTCAATTCTTCACTTATAACTATAATACCTTTATCTTTCTCTAAAAGATTCATTTGTAGATTTTCAACTGTATTTTCTAATGTATTGTTATCAGATTTGAGTTTCCTGACTTCTTCTAAGCTGATACTTAACATACGTTGTAAATCGGAAGTTGTGATTTCATTATGTTCCAAGGAATTAGCTTTATCAACTTCTAGTAATTGTTCTTGTTGTTGAACTCCGATTTCTTTCAACTTTTCAATTTGTTTCTCCAAAGTGTCCAAGTCATTTAGTAACTGGTCGTTTTCATAGGTCAATCTCGTTATTTGTCTGCGGTATGAAATATTTTCATTATCATAGGACCCCAATTTTTTCCGATAGGTTTCCAACTTACTTTCAGTTAATTTCAATTTCTTACTCAAAGATTCATTTTGTGCTTTCAAATCGTCGATGTTTGTGATGAATGATAATTTTTGTTGTGTTAAATTTTCTATCAATTCTTGTGTTGCAGCTTGACTTGCTGTGATTTTACTATCTGCGAGTTCTTTTAATTTGCTATTCTCCTCTTGAAGAATAGTTTTGGCTTGCTTCGCCTTCTGAGCTATTGCCAACAAGTTGGTGCATTTTCGTACAAGGTCTTCTTTAGACAAGTCTTCCAAATTCGTTTTTTTCGCAGAATCGTTGGTAAGTAATTGTTCATTTTGTGATTTTGATATTGTGGACCGAATCGTTTAAATAACTCCTGTTTAATTTACATATTTGGTTTTTATTACTAGTTACACTGACACGTATCTGCGTTTGGTGTAATAAATTAAAATAGATACTATTTGTATGTGTGTGCCACCATGTATATTCACATTGTACCTACCACTTTTTATATATATGTTTTTGATGAATGGTATGTTTACTTCCTCAAAATAAAGAGTTGTTAAAATGGAATCGTAGAATCATTACAGCCTGGTTTTCGTGAGGCTGCTACGGATAGTGTTCCCAGATCTGAAGCAGGGCCTGATGTTATACTTGGACCCAATCCGTCTTATCCTTTCCGATAATCCTCTGATGTAGGGAAGTACAAGTACTGGTTGTGGCGGCTTCTCTTCCTTGTGAGGCTCTTGCTGTCTAGCTAAGGCCTGTTCTACCATCACTTTGGAGTTTTTCAGGGTTTCAAATCAATTTATATTATATTAGACAATGGAAGTCCGAACTGATGAAATACACAATTATGGATTTTTGATGGCTAATTAACTTTATATGACGTATTATTTACCGAGACTTAAAATTGATTACATCATCTTCAAAACCTTATAAAGCGAGATATTTGCGAAAAATATATTTTTATGGCTTCTGACCTTGACACGATATCATATGAGACTTGGGACAACTTTTAGAATGCTAAAATCAAGATCTATATAAATTTGAGGCTCATTGTCTCTTATTCTGAGATCTACATTTTTTTGGCCAAAGTGCCGAAATCATTCTGACTTTTCATAACACTCATATTACATAAATAGCAAGAGAAATAAAAAATATTGTACATCACATCTGAAAAAATTAAACTACAAATTATTGTTAAAATTTTTAATCTTACACTTGTAAGTGTAGAATATTTTTTTATTTATTTTCCTCCCTGTGGATGATCTCACCTTGGGACCACTTGATGCTTAGACCCATCAACAGAACATGAAGTAACTTGGTTTGAAATATTTTTTTATTTATTTTCAGCTGCCATAATGTAATAGTTGCAGTACCCCCAGCGGATATTTTGAAAATAAAATTCACTCCTGATTTGCCTCAGTCCAAGTACGATTCCATTAGTGATGTAACATCGAATATTATGACGTCTTTTGTTGCCACATATCGTAAGGTATTACATCGACAGAAAAAAAATAAAGCGAGTGTAGTATTTTATTCAAGGAATTCTGGATGAAACTGGGCCTTTCCGGAGATATCTATAGTTTTGACAAAGATTATAGCGAAGGACCCATAGATTTTTGTTGCAATATTACGCAATTTGATATTCCAGCGTTATATGGATTACTATTCTCAGAAAAAATAACTTCTCCAAGTGTAAGTATAACTAATAATCACAATATATCTTAAAATATATTTTGAAAAGTATTTCATTGTAATTACTTAGTTATAATTTATGAATAAAATAATATTGAATGGCGAGAATAAATCAAAAAAATAAGTTTGAGATAAATGACTTGATATACATTGTGAATCGTAAAGATTATTTCACAGAAACTACATGAAAACATTATGAAAAGAAATAACTCCAGCCCTCACACGTATATTCAATTCAAGACGTGTACCGACATGTTTAGCCCTTTTGATCTCATCAGTGCTGAACAGGGAAGTACTCAATAGAAAACAAACTTATGAATCCGGAACGAGTATGAAACGAATTGAAAAATTGACAGATGAAGCCAAACAAAAATACTATCAAAAAGTCTTGATTTAAAATAGTAGTAATAGTAAAAAATATGGCAAACGATCAAGGAATATAGTGCAAACGCCAGCGTACAACGTAACGATAAACCGTTTGAAATTGTATACAGTGTGTAAAAGCCAAATAAAATAAATTTATTATTTCGCTTACTGTACATATTAAAAAAAAATACCGAAACACATCAAATGTAAGTTATAGTTTGACATTCTTCAACGTAAAAATGCCACCCCTACCTTCAACCCCCTTCGAATAACAGGTACAACCACCAATTTTTTAAAAGGGAAGTATAGGTTTGTGATATATCGTTTGAAAGATCGCATCTCTATTCGAAAGTGTTATCGCTTTCAAGTTTATTGAAACAATTGAGATAAAATAAATCAAAATCATGTGGTTAACGAAATTCAATAAAATACACTCAAAAACTGAAATGTAATGCAAAACGTAATGAAATGTAGAATACGAAAAAGAACTATGGATGTTAACATGGTAGATATTCAAAATATTCACCGCGAACCCCTTGACAACATCCTAATCTCAAATAAAACTGTCTTCTTACATTATTTAATATATCAGGCGTGACCGACCTAATCTCATAATAGGGGAGCCCAAGCGGGGATTTCGGGATTTACTAAAGCGCGGCAGATTAATATACAGGGGGATACCTTGTACCCGGTTAAGTACCTCCACCAAATATGAGCCCCATATATATAAGGCTGCCTGTGAGGGATAAAGGATCAGATCAGATTAAGGCAGGGTGAGTCAATTACCTGCTAAAAAGTGTATATTCCAGTAATCTGACAATTTGAGAGTGACGTGAAGATGACGTAATGAAAAATATATAACATCATCTTCATCTGACGTGGAAATCGTCAGATGAAGATGATGAATAATTAATCAATTAATTGATGGATGTAGCCGTTACTACGTGGTAGGAAATCATAATGAAGAAAAGAGAAATTAAACTTTCTATGTTTTTTACCACTTTTATTTTCAAACTTATACAATATATAAGCAGTAACATAACTGAAGTAACGTTAGTTACAAATAAAAGTGGTAAAAAACATAGAAAGTTTCATTTCTCTTCTCTTCATTCATTAATCAATTGATTATAAACAATTACATTTTTTTCAGTATTTAAAAAAAATATTTTCTTATAAATACAAGTATTCTACTTTAAAAACATACACTTATTTATTTGCATGCTATTTCCTGAGCTTTTCAATTAATTAAGTTCAATGAATTGAATATTTTTTTTTAAATATTGTTTTTGTCAGATTAAGCGAATCCTTCTAGATAATCGTCAGATTATGAGACAGTACGTCTGAAACATAAAGATGAACCATATATATCTTAATCTGATGCGCTTGAGTATTTCAAAATGAAGAATTTTTTTTTGCACATTTTGATAATGGCCGCGAGTTTGCGTCAGATCGAAATCGTCAGATTATTGAATGAGAGCTTTTTTTTCTGTTGCACTTAACACCCTGACGCGCTCGATTAAATTTTTTTTTTCACTTCTACCCCTTACGTACAACCACCCATATCATGCAAATGATCAGATTAACATACCAACATTATTAAAAATACGTAGGACATTGATGCTATCAATATCTGACGCGCTCCAGAACCAGGTTGTTGCTTGTTCCATAACTTCCCCAAGGATTGTAGGCGAACACTCCCCTTTATTGATAGTGATGCCAAATGCGACCAGAGATCTATAAATCATGGTAGAATGGTTTGATACAAATTCACTAACAATAAATTTGTAAAAACTATATATTTACCCTTCTCAAACTATAAAACCAAACAATTCATATAAATCTTCCTTTTCGAATAGATATATAGACTCTTCAAAGCACTGACCACGCTGATTATCTAGGAATAACTTCTGACAAAAAAAATTCGATCTCTGATATACATGTTCAGACATATTTCAAGAATAACTGACAGATAATGAGAAATATATACCACGCCCTTGTTCAATCACTGTTATGCTACGGGATAATAGGTTGGGAGGGGTATATAAAAACACCTTGAAACGACTTGAGACAGCACAAAAACGCATAATAAAAATAATTCACCAAAAAAATATTCGCTTATCTTCCGAAAATTAATTTAAACAATTTCGATATCTCAATATAAGAAACATTTTATTGTCAAAGATAACCTTATGAAAAATTAAACTATGCACACCTACCAGACGCGGTTCAAAAAATTTGAAAATATTGTACTACTTAAAATTCAAAAAACTATAGGTCAACGTAACTTCTTATACGTAGGTCAGAAAGAATATAATAATATCCCGCAGGACCTTAAATCACTTAAATTATTTTGTTGATGCTTTGTTCAAGATCTTCACCAAAATGCATGATGTCTATATTTTTCAAGAATGAATATCTATCCTATATATAATTTATGATCGAAAAGCAGGACAATTTCTGAACAAAATTCTAGAATGCGTCAATTAATATTTGTGACACTATTTATCATAAAAAAATTCACACTCACCTCACTTCCCTTGAAGTAACGCAATCTTCCTCTTTCGGAAGGCACTTTTATTGTCCATAAAGTCATATAATTTTTCTAACACCATACATCTAAATGAGTAAATGATAAGTTATCAAATAATCCGAGGGATATTCAAGAAAAAAACTGCCATATTCCATCTCTTACCAATTTTTTGACACACATTGATATACTAGATAAATTGTAAATTTATACTGTAAATTGTACTGTACTACTCGTATAAGTTGGGGTAACTTGAGTTTGTTGGGATGACATTTATGTCCGTTTAATATGTATAGGTGAACGATATGTCACTTCCCAACGAATTTACCCAAAAAACCAGCAGCCAGTCGCTTACTTTCATTTGAGACATTTCTAGGGCCGATACCTAAAATCAGTTTCAACTGTATGCCGGTTCTATTTTATAGTTTTTCATGTTGTTATAACTGTAATTACTATTTTTTTCTGTATTCACAAGTTGCAAATAAATAATATAGGAACATAGGGTTTCACGGCTGGAGTCAGGATTAAAGAGAACAAAATCCGGGCCATTAGGCCGTGGTCGAATAAAACCAAAAGTACTTCAGTCAACGCGCATACCACTGATGACTGATGACTAACGAAGTAGCAGACGAAATGTTTGGAACTAAGTTCCATTCGACCACGTTCTACTACCCCGGATTTTGTTCTCATTGATTGCAAATGAATAAATGCTTATTATTATTATAATTTTCAGTTATATATTTTCAATTATCTACAGTTTAATTCCGTAGAAATTATTATATGTGCAAGTATTCAGTAACTAGTTGATCCAGTTGACATTGCCCAACGGTTAATAAAAAGATTCACCAACAACTATTGGTTGCGGAAGATAATTTTGTAATTGCTGCCCGATTTTTTGAAAATATGTTAAACCACTAACTTATTTATGATTTTGAAGATATTATTATGAATGGTTGTTCTTCATGTCTGCCCTAGATTATATGATAGTGAATTAATTTTTGATATACATACTTGAATGTTTTCATGTTACTCTGGCAGAAATTCAACGAATCATGAAAATTATAGTTAAAGTAAACGATATAGTGCCACCTACCTACCAACAGCTCCCCTTTAATACTATAGTTACAAAGCTAACTAATTTTGTTATTCAATAATCATTTCTGATTATATAAGAATCACAGTAACTATATAATATATATGATAAAGACTGGCTTCTCTTCCATATTCTCTGTTTCACTATCACTGTCATCATTTAAATCAATAATGAATTTATTTCAACCATTAATATGGAAGTGTCCAATCTCCATATCCTTTTTCAACTAAAATAACCAAAATTAAAATTACTGATTTTAATTAGCTCTATTACCTTCTTATCAAATTTTGGAAAATTATTTTTCCCAAATCAACTCGATGGGATTTAAATCAGGGGGATTTAAATCAGTCCATGTGTACTAGTTCCGTGCCGGTTCATTTCTATCTATTGGTTCATGTGGCTGTTGAGAGTGCTGCAAACTTTAAGAGTGCACAATATCGTTTACTTCGACTATACTATAAATGTTTAACTGAACTGAATAATATTCGAAATAAATGTACAAATACAATAATATGCAATACAAAGGAAAATAACGTTGAAAACATAATCATTAGAATGTTTCAAAAATTACTTCCCGAACTTGAATAATTTATTTGACCGAATGATATTGATTGAAAATAACATTTATGACTTAGACGATTCTATATGATCATTGAGTTTGGATGATCTATTGGATCATTGAATGTACAGATCATTACGGTTTTTTTCAGCTTCCTATTTATAAGAGGCGTATTCTAAAACAGCTGAGTGAATATTTTGGAAAAGAAGCATTGAATCCTGTCGAATATTATGAGAGGTCGTGGCATAATCGTTCAAGCCGAATGTTCTGTTGGAAAGAAGGAAATAATAAGCTTGTTCATGACATCGAACAAGTCAATAGAAGGTAACGTAAGAACATTGAGTTTATCATTATCAAAAGTTTCAACTGACACAGAAATACATTTGCAATCCGTTCAATTAATGGTGATGTAACATATACATCTTGATGTTTTTTATAGAATATTGATATTATTTTTAAATAAAAATCACATACTTTTTATTCGTTTATTTGTTGAATGAAACTTTTTCTGGGAAAAAAAGTTTTTCGCTTTCTTCTACTACTACTACTTGATACAGAAGAATGTGGGAATCTTCCGAAGAAAGGAAGGAAGTAATCGATTTTGAAAGAAGTAACTTTATACATAGATGTGTAGATTATGCACAAAAGTAACTTTCAGACACAAATTGGAAGAAAAAAACCTTCCTGAAACAGTTACTTCCATATAAACATTGAATTACACAAAAAAAACATTCTTTCGAAACAAATATTTTTACATGAACACAGAAAACACTTTTCTCTACTCAGTTTGTATTCCAAACATTCGATATGGAATTAAATCAGATACCATTCACAGAATTTCCACTGAATATACTAAATGAAAGGTAAAAATTTCACATACATGGAACACTGTCATCCTCACTGGTGGACATCGATGTTTCGCCGTAAGACACTTGCCTTAGGGGCTCTTCAGTACCAATCTGGATAACTTTATAAGACACAATTCATTCAATTAAGATTTTTTGGCTGGGATTGAATCAAACTGGCGAATGAATGTTATTACGACGTCATCGATGACATAAGTAGATTAAATTTATTCCATGACATAATTTTCATGGTTTTGGAGCCGAAAAAGAATGTTTCTGTTTATATCCTCTCATAACTTCATAGACACTTGAAGGAGAGACACTCAAGCAATGTTTTCTACTTTTATCACGATTTCATCAACGGACAATAAAGGATTTGCTTCAATTTGATTTTTGTAAATGTTCATAATTACAGTTTTTTCATTAATATTGAGCTGTAGTTTTTTTGGTCTTTTTTAGGTAGAGTATAGGAACACAAATTAGCAGTTTCTTAAGCTATATCAGTACTTGACATTTTAAAATATCGTATATGTCTTTCCTGGAAAGACGAACTGGACGGAAGTACCAACAACACCCTCACAATACGACTGACAATCTGCTAGTGCAGTAACTGAAGACGACAAGATAAGATGCGCCATATCGGGCTTTTCCCTCTTCAAGTCACCAGGACCTGACGGTATAAGACCAGCCCTACTTCAATGGGGACTGGATATTCTAATGCCGCACCTGGTTGGAATATTCAGAGCCTCTCTAGCTCTGAGGTATATTCCCAGTAAGTGTAGAGAAGTACGAGTAGTATTTATACCCAAACCAGGTAGGATGGACTACACCTTACCAAAAGCATTCCGACCAATTAGTTTCACATCGTTCTTCTTAAAAACTATGGAGAGGCTATGTGAGCGGTGCATGAGAGATGAAGTACTAGTTCACAACCCACTTCATCCAAATCAGTATACATATAATTCGGGAAGGTCTACTGATTCGGTCTTTCACCATGTGGTTGGCAGAATCGAGAGATCATTGGACAACAAAGAATCCATCCTGGGTATATTCATAGATATCGAGGAAGCGTTTGATAAACCAACCTTTCCAACAATTACCCAGCAACTACACTTCAGGAATATACCCCTGGTACAAGAAGAATGCTCTCTAGTAGAGTAATGAGTATCAATGTAGAAGACATCACAGTGAGAGGACTGGTCATGAGGGGATGTCCACAAGGAAGAGTCTTATCATCCCTTCTCTGGAACATAGTTCTGGATACTGGATACCCTGAATAATCACCTCAATAATAATGGATTCTACACAATTGCATAAGCAGATGACATAGTTATCTTGCAGACCGACAAATTTGTGAACACACTGTGTGATGTGATAGAGTGCAGAATGGGCTCAAATTAATAAAAAAATGCTGTAAGGAACACTCACTGTCGATCAATCCCAAGAAGACTAAGATGGTAATTTTCACCAGGAAAAGAAGTTTATCGGGCTTGAAACCCCCTGAAATCTTCAAAAGCATACTGAACTTCTCTGAAGAGGTGAAATACCTTGGTACTATCCTCGACAGGAAGCTAATATGGAACTCTCACCTACAGAGTAGTGCAAAAAGAGCATATGTAGCTTATGAGCAATGTCGGAGGACAGTGGGACGCGCATAGGGTCCGTGGATCTACACTGCAATAATTAGACCTATGTTAACGTACGGAGCCATTACATGGGGACCGAAAGTTCTACAAGCAACGGCCATCCAAAAATTATATCAAATACAACGACTGGCTTGTTTAAACATCACAGGAGCCATAAGAACAACACCGACCGCGGCAATGGAATCAATTACGGGTCTGGCCCCTCTGGACATGTACGTTAAGGAGGTTGCGTTAATGGCACTGTTACGATTGCGCACGGCTGGTGTAAATCTCGAAGTAGGAATGGGTCAATTGAGGCTGAGCCTATGGCGAGAAGCGCTTACGTCTGTTGCAGGCAAACAGTGATGCAATTAAACTCAGGTTTGTGTTTAATAAACCCTACGAAATACAAATAAAACATAACACTGAGTCAGATGCTACAAATGCAGTACGCATATATACAGACGGCTCAAAAACCAAAGGATGCTTAGGATGTGGAGTGTACTCCGGATCACTAAGCCTAATGGTTAAGTGGGCAATGGAAAAAAATACCAGCGTGGTACAAACAGAACTGGTTGGTATCTCAATCGCCACAAAAGAAATAACCAGGAAATGAATTTCTGGCAAAAACATAACAATCTGCACTGACAGCAGACAAGCCCTATTAGCCTTGAACAGACAACGTGCTACCTCAGGGCTAGTACTAGAGTGCCACCAAGATTTAGCCAAAGCCTCAGTAGATAATAACAATATCCTGAGGTAGCGGTATATCTGAAACAATGAATTTCGTTAGCTGATTGCTGTTGAGTCTGATGGACAGCGTGAGGAGGTTTGTTTATTTTACCCATGAGATGCAAATGTGCGTGGTACGCGTCTATCGTTTTTTGGGTTGCGAATGCCTTTTATATAGGCTCTGGTTTCAACAGAACATATGTTCGGTTTTTTTAATAAAATCAGACGTTATTCGTTCATACCATACTACTTCTGTAGAATCAAGTTTGCAACCAAAGGCCACATACGACTATGAATGTTGAAAATTTTCAACTGGTTGTCGAAGAGCAATCTGCTTTTATTGAAGCCAAAATGAATCTAATCAAATTATTTATCATTCTAAAATAGTTTCTGATATGAAAAATTAATTGAATTTGATGGTGTCTAATAACCATTTAAGGATTCATTGGGCAGGGGCCGAAACGTCTAACGAATGGTTTGGACAAATGGCAGGAGCAGTTCACTCCGGCATAAGAGCAGCCTTAGAAGTTCTTTGTGATCTGCGCCCTTCCGTCTTAACCGCAGATGATTATATGTTTCTCAGGTATGCGTGGTTTCTTAGATGATAATGATGACATGATATCTCTCATTCAACTTCTTTATTTAAAGCATTATTTTCATTCAATGTAATAGAAGAATCGATCTGAAAGTTACCATTTCGAAGAGAGGTATTTAGTCATATTTTTACGAAAGAATTAGATACGGACTTATTACATAAAACGGCAAAAATAGAAGGTAGATGAGGTTGAATCCAAAAAAGATTTTTTTAATTACGATTGCTAGAATTTGGAACCTCCTGCGGAAATGAACCTATTCAAATCAGTTTTTCCTAACCAAAACCAAGATACTTTCTTTCGACGAGCATTTTGCTGACCGAGTTAGCATCATCAGAATTTGACATCATCTCCCAATGAAACTAACTTGGTTAGCGAAACATGTGGTCTGGTGAGGAAAAAATATTTTCAAAAGATATGAAATACGAACCAATTAGTTCGTTTCATTCCAGGTATGTGATTCTTGAGCCTCGTTTAATATACAGGGTGTTGCAAATTAAGTCGGCACCATTGCCAAATCCGTTATTATTGACGCTACGAATTCGGTTAAATAGGCAAACTAATAGCATTTTCAATGGCTTTCTCGATGCCAAAAACAAAAAAAATTTACAATCGCGTTTTCAAATTATTTCATAAAATGATATTTTACCATGCATTTCGATTCATAATAACACTCTCACCAACAAAGCCCATATTACCTTTCTTCCTAAAGTTGAAAATGAGCGACTAATGTGGAAATATTTCTTTCTTTCACTGCTTCGAAAAATGTTTTGTTTTGGCGAATGAAAAGCTATGAAATATCGAGTATATATTCAAAAATACCGCCTTTTTGTTGAACACATATTTGGGCGCTTCTCTTGACACTAGGTGTTGCTTTCAACACAATTCGGCCATCAATTCTATCAATTATAGTTTCAATGTAGTTTTTCAGTTCATCTACATTATTATGTTTCATTTCGTACTCCTCATTTCTTTAGAAATTCCCAAAAAATACAAATTTAGAGATGTCATTTCTGGTGAACGAAGAGGTTACTTAATAGGACCATTTGTAGCAATCCATCCGTTTCCAAAACATTCTCGCAACATATTTTCACGTCACTGAAAATGTGCTGGCGCTCCATCCTTTCTGAAAATAGATCATCTGACCAGAGCCTTCAAATCAAGATCATCGAAAAACTCTTCCAACACTCTTGTTAATAAATCAATGTAACGAAGTCCGTTCAAAAAACCATGGTAGAAAAATAGACCGATAATTCTGCCTCTAAATAGACCAAACCAAAAATTAATATTAAATCGTCTTTGCGGATTGTGGGGATGGCCTAGAAATATATTATATCTACTCCAATAATGAACATTCTTTCTATTATACATCCCACGATTTGAAAAATTAGCCTCATCGCTCCATATAATATTTCTATAGAGGTTTGGATCTTGTCTGCATTTATTCATAAACCACCGACAAAACCTCAATCATCTCTCAGGGTCACCAGGTTCTAGTGTTAGCACTGGTCTGAACTCAAAAGGAGAAACCTTATGTTTCTTCAGAACTCGTTGAATAAAAGACGATGTAACATCTATTTCTTCAGATAATTCTGCAATGGAATTTTTTGGATTTACCTCAAAGTAGGCTCAAACGTCAATTTATGTATCTTCATATATTACCAAACGTTTTTTAGTTATCCTCTTCTCAAAAACTTTTCAATTGTCCCTGAATCGACGATGAAGCACAGCAAAAAAACGCAGATTAGGTAATTCACGATCGGGGAATTAATTGATGTAGTGTTGGAGTGCCCTGGCAAAGCAAATAGGATTCTAACATATCACATTTTTCTAGATGGAAAAACGGCATTTCGAAAAATATTCGAACAGAAGTTGACAGTTATAATAATTGATGATATTGTCATGATGAGAAAATTTGACAAATAGTATTTCAAGAAAGTTTCAAGGCAACTTAAAATACATTTTTTCCAACACCATTAATATGACGCTCCAGTATTTTCTGTTCCGCACATTATAGCAGACATATTTTCATACACAAAATAAATACGGCTAGTGGAATGGTCTTAAGATGAAAATTATCGTTTTGTAAATCAATACCAAATAGCTCGGTGGTGTCAAGTGAGTGGAACGACATTATGATCACGGGTTTCACGAGTTCAAATCCCGACAGTCAATGTTTGTTTTGTTTCTGGCATCCAGAAGGCCATAAAAATGCTACTAGTTTGCCCATTCAACCGAATTGAAAGCATTAATAATAACGGAGTTGGCAATAGTGCCGTCTTAACTTGGAACACCCTGTATATTTTGCCATCATTCAGTAACTTCTTCCATATTATTAGTACTGATTTCAAACATAGACATCACGTAATTTGAGATGATATCTTCTTTCAATACAAAAGTAATTTCCATAAACGTAGTTTGAAAGACTTCACTGCATACCTGAATGCTCAATTTGTATATTGAAATACACATTGTTTGTAGGCCGCCACAACGAACACAGAAAAAGCCACTGGAAACATATAATGATCCAATCTACAGCTTTTTAGCCAATTGGAGAAGCAAATTGTCCATTGGTCTTTTGATACTTTTGATTATGTACGGGTTGAAAACATATTTAGTTAATTGATATGTGAGTATTTGAATAAAAGATTAAATTTTGTTTTGGAGTATTGATTTATTTTATGGTTTATTACTTTGCTTACATATCGAACTATTATCACTGTGCTTGAAAAAATGTGGAAAGGTAAGTGATATACCATAAAAATTTATTTCACTGAAAGTTGAAACTGAAGTTTCAAGTTCAAATATAGTGGTAGACGAAAAAGAGTGTTTGACTCCCTCATATTTGCTGGGGATGTTCAATTTTACTTTACTTTTGGGAAACGTGTAGGTAATAATAATAATAATAATGAACGTCTTTATTACTACAATCACAATAATACTTTACAGTAATAAATTTCATTTGCATATATGAAGTTATAGCAAAAGGCAAAGTTTAATTTTCGTAGGTATGCAAATAATTGCTGAAATGTTCTGACGCTCAACCTAAAAAAGTATCTGCATGTAAATTAAAGTAGCACAGCATTAACATAAGTATATGAATAAATAAATAAAGATCAGTGACTCGCGATGTAGCTAAAAGTATTGACACAAAACTAAGCAAACAATTATTGGCAATGAAACAATCGAAGATAAAAAATAATAGAAGAAGAAAAAAGGAGATAGAAAGGCGGAATGGTGAAAGGTTCATCATGTTAATGATTTTGAAAACTATATCATTTCAATTTGATTTTAAACTGAGAGGGTGAAAATTTTTGAAAGTTCAGGAATGGCATTGAATACTGTTGATATCTGGTACCTGAAAGAGCGTTTGAATAGCTGAGTTGTGGTAATGGGAGGTGTTGAAGAGCCTCTGAATTTGATGTTGATATTATTAAGATCGGTTCGAAACGTCACTTTTCTGTTTAGGTACCTTAGGGACCTTATATAGGAGACTGGGGATACTTGCTCCTTACGGGAGACTAGATATATTGGATTTACAGAGCTTTTGTGGATACTACATAATTTTAGAGTGGCAACATTTGTAGTCTATGGAATATTCTAACTTTCTAAAGTTGGTACTGCTGTCAAATTTGACAGTTAGGCAGATGGCGGATTATTGTGTGTTTCGTGTTGCAGGAAAATATTTTTCGTAGGTTTTTATTTAGATTAAATGATTGATTAGTAAATTAATTTTGGATGAGTATCAATTTCAAACTAGTCATTATTTATGTGTTTAAACGTCTGTTGCATAGAAAAGTGTTGATAGTACTAGATTTAAAAATAATACTTTTATAACCTCGACATAGCTAGGGTACATATGATACACGTTCTTAAGGGAGATATGATCCCGCTGGATCAAGTGTCCCCTAATGTTCATTTTTCAATAATTTCAGGATAAAATATGCCTAGAGTAAATAAAACAAAAGTAGGTGCAAGAAAAAGAATACCGATCGATAAGGAAATCTTGGAGTTGGCTGTGAATGATGTTATAGAGGGTAAGAGTATTCGTGGTACTGCCAAAGGGTACGGAACATACTGAAAAAATATGTTAAAAAGAAGTAAAATGCTACGACTGAAAATATTGACTAGACTCCAAACTATCGCCAGTCACAAATTTTTTCGTCAACCGAAGAGACAGAACTTGTTAGTTATTTAATAATGACTAGTAAGTTGTACCACAGATAAACTTCTAAGAATTTACGAGACCTCGCATTTCATTATGCTTCTGAAAATAGAAAAAAAAAAACACCAGAATGGATTGAACAGGAAATAGCAACTTATGATTGGTTCTACGGTTTTAGTAATCGTCACAAAGAGTTGTCATTGAGTGTACCTGAAGCCAAAAGTTTGTCTCTCGTCACAGCTTTCAACAGACACAATAATGAAAATTTCTTTGACAATTTGAAAACTTTATTACAGCGATATAATTTTAGTTCAGATCCAATTTGGAACGTAGACGAAACTGGAATTACTACGGTTCTCAAGGCAAAAAAATTGTGGCATGTTGTGCTCTCAAATAAGTGTCTAAGGTTACATTTGGAGAACGTGGGCAGCTTGTTACGGTATGTGGAGCTATGAATGCACTAGGTAACCACCTTCCACCATTTATTATATTTCCATGTACAAACTGACAGGAACAAATGATAGATGGTGGACCATCTGGACAAAACTTTCTACTTTTTCAGAAATTTTTTCATAAGCATGTAAGATGCATCAAAGACAGCTTTTGTTTTATCATATTTGAGAACCATGAGTCACACATTACCATTGACTCTATAAACTACTGCAAAGATGTATCCATCTTTCAACTTTACCACCACACACCTCTCAAAAATTACAATCTTTGGATGGAATAGTATTTGGAGCGATTAAGTCATATTATAATACTGATTCAGTGATAATAGGGACATTCAGTGATGTTTGTTGAAAACTGGGTATGTATGATTTATGAAAACAGTTGATACCTTGTTGTTTCTAGTTTAGTAAGCAAATAAATCAATGATAAAAACAATTTTAACATATTTTTTTCTGTATTGGTATCATGTGACTCCAAATGTGGGAGACTTGTTTTCTCCAGGATCAAGTATTCCAGAGGGTTGGAATCAAGTCAGAAATACCGATATCATTAGCTGTGATATTTAGTATAGCCAATGAAATTCCACGTATTTCAGTACCAAGATATTCAAAATCGGATCAACATTTACGAAGTAATGGCCAAAAAACAAAATGGGGGATCAAGTCCCCAGTCTCCCCTAACAAGGAAAAATAAATCTCATTACTACCTTCAATTAAGATTATGAAAATTATTGACGGAAATAATTATCGTTTCGAATTCCACATGAAATTTTTTCAAAACTTAAATTTGATAATCTGTAGAAAATGTTCGAATGAAATGAATGAAAATACTGATTATAAACAATATTTATATTACCGAGTAAAAAGAACAACAACCAAGACAACGTCTAATCCTTAACCAGTCCCACGTTATTCGCTATTTGTCGACATTTGACAGTCACTTCTTCTTGCACCAGACTGAAACACATGGCTACAACTACCAATCCTAGAAAGAGGTACACACAACAGGCGAACAGTTGTATTTGGTTGTGGTATTCGGGACTTTGAGGTAGTCTGTCGCCGACACCGATGGTGGATATGGCTATGAAACAAAAATATATCGAGTCCAGGAAGCTCCAGCCACTTGATGAAGAGAACGCGAAAGCTCCCAAGCATACGTAGGAGAAGAATATAGTCACCACGAGGAAGGCAGGCACTGACGGCGATGGTACCGCGAGAATTGGTGTTGAGGTTCTCATGTTCGGTTCCGGCGGTCGCCATATGAGTGGTATGCGAGACGGGGTGTCGTGGGTGGTGCACCTGAAATGCAGATAAATGTCAAAATGAAACCATGGAAATATGAAATTTGTGATGCTAATTCAATATGTTACATATCAAGACGTCGTGCTGCTGCTGTGGTGGATTACTAGCCACAAATAACAATCATGTAATTATATGTGAGGACTTCTCATGGTGGATAGTATGAATCTCAGACTATTCCAAGATCAATATGCGTGTTTTGATATGGAAACCATTTCTGATCCAACACGTACAACAGCACGATCTAGTTTATGTCTTTCGATAATTTTATTAACTTTGCCTGGTTTGGTGATCCAAAATATTTTCAAATGCGGTTTTTTCTATTGGTTGGGAAAGGGATTAAAATGTTCGTAGACAAACAATTTAGTGTTATACCAACGTTTCGGACTTTATTAAATGCATCATCAGGTCTCTATATAATGAAATAATTTGATAAGTGAACAGTATATGCCAATACATATTGCAAAATTTGTAAAGTTTATACAGTCTCATATTATGTAAAAGAGAAACAAACATGTGCACTTACCAAACATTAGTTATTCATGTCAAAAAAACGTTTAAAATATATGTTTCAGACAACATAGGTACAAACGAAAATGAGGACTAACCAAATGAAAACACATACACCACAGACACATTAAAAATGAAAACGATATCAAGGGAGACAAACTGATTAGAAATGGACGTTTTTGTTTTCCTCAAAAAAATATAAAGAATAGAAGGATATCAGATTACATAGGATGGTGGAAACTTATGTGCATTAGAATATTAAGGAATACGATTTAGTAAATTAAACTAAGCACTATTCAGTCCTTCTATGTCCTTTCTAGTGTTAACACTTTTTTGTTTGAAAATGTGGATCATTCCACTAAACAGTCGTTTACCTAATGAAGGTTGAATATCTAAAATCTTGTGTTCAGGCTGTTGGATTGGCAACATTTAACTTCCTTGTATCTCTTTCATGTTCAGACGACCTATTTTTTAAGTAACGTCCCGTTTGCCCTACATATCATTCTGGACAATCCTTGCAGTTAATTTTATAAACGACGTTTGATTGCATATTCATCGGAGTTTTTGTTTTTTGTTTCGAAAAAAAATTTTTACCTACAGTGTAAGCATTTGCAAACGCAATTTTGATGTGTTCATTATTTAGAACTGATCAAAGTTTTTTAGAAAGGTTATGTACATAAGGAATTTTGAAATATTTTGAATTGTTAATTTCCAATGTAGGTTTCAGCAATGAAGGAGGGTAAATATTTTTAATAAGGAAACCTTCTATAATTCTGATGTTTTTGTTATGAAACTCAGTATCAGAAATTGTGAGTGCTCTTGATTTTAGGTTCCTAATGATATTAATTTTATTGTTAAAACTGTGTTGTGAAAAATAATTAATGAACCTTGCTGAAAAAGTAGTTTTGTGGTACCAGTCGACTTTTAAAATCTGGTCAGGTGTTCTCTATATCTTAGTATCTAAGAAGACATATACTGTTCACTTATTAAATTATTTTATTATAGATCCCTGATGATGGATTTAATAAAGTACGAAACGTTGGTATAAAACTAAATTGTTCATCTACTAACATTTTGATCCCTTCCCCAACCAATAGAAAAAACCGCATTTGATAATTTTATTGTTGGAAATGAAATTGCTCAAGAAGTCTCCGTGATCTCAGATCACTTCACTCATGTACCTTTGGTATAGTGTTCTCAGAGGGGAATCAATTTGTTTTTAATCGAATACTAGAAAGTTTTGTTCTAGAGAGTTCTTGAAACACCTTGATGATGTTACCTGTCCAAATCTAGCTTATGATATATTCCATATTGCAATACAGGTTTTCACGAATGTTGGAATATGTGAAGTTGATTTTCCGGATTTACCCGTTCTGTAGTTTTCAAAGGTCGACATTTCGCCATTATCTCAGATGGCATTCTCAATTCTTGTTACTAACTTCAGACTTCTGAAACCCTAGTTCAGAATCCCAAATGATGATAAATGGTGGAATAATACAGATTCAACAAGAATTCAACATTACAGTAGTTATTCAAGAATCTTAACGCATACCATTTTTATGTGATTTTTCGTAAAATGTGTCAATATGTGTAATCAACTGAGATGCCTAATAACACTAGTTTATAGCCAATTTACGACTGTAATGCTAAAGGTAGATCTTTGTTAATTTTTGGTCCCTAAATACGAAAATGATAGTGAACATTTTCTAATACGTAAGATTTTTGATTTATGATTTTTTTCACAAAAATTTAATGAACACGACATTCCAAATTTGCTTTTCCCCTAAATTGGGAAAATTGTTTAAAATCTGGCAACACAGCGGCTCTGCTCAGTATTCGAATCTGCTTCCGCTTTACATGAGACTTGTAACGCCGCTTCTCGAACTTCCGATACTCGAAGTTTCCAGAAAATACCAGAAATACGGAACCGCTTTAAAAGTAGCAGGTTGACAATCGGATCATCGATATCGGTATCATTTTTTAGGCAGGTTCCCATGATGTGCCAGAAAAAGACGGTCTTTATTTTTCCGAGAGTGAAGGAAGAACACCCGATTTAATCGAATAACCTGAATTAAATGACCTAGTTCGGGACCTCCACTTGTCCAAAGAGAATGCTGCGCTAGACTACAAAAATGGAATTTACTAGCCCCTAAAATCAAAGTTACAATATTTAGGAACCTTAACCATGAGCTATCCCTGTTTTTACTATGCAGGATAAAATGTGTGTGTGTGTAAATCCAAATGGTGTGATGGAAAAATTAGGATTTGCACATAACCCGGACGAATGGCGTTTATTTATAGATTCGTCTAAAACAAGTTTGAAAGCCGTTCTGCTCCATAATGGTAACGAAAAACCCTTTATTCAACTTGCACATGCAGTTGCCATGAAGGAAACACACGAAAGTATGTCATTTGTTCTAAATGCAATAAGTAATAATACGTATAAGTGGCAAATATGTGCTGACCTGAAAGTCATAAGACTATCACTAGGTGTTCAGAGCGGATTTATGAAGTTTTGCTGTTTTCTTTGCCTTTGGAACAGTAAGACAACACAGAGCCATTATCAAGTATAAGAATGGCCTGAGAGATAAGTATATTTTAGGTCAAACTAACGTGTTAACGTGTTTTGGGATTAACCTCTTGTTAATCCCAAAAACGTTTTGTTACCTCCATTGCACATTAAACTGGGGTTAATGAAAAGATTTTTGAAAGCATTAGAAAAAGAAGGTGATGCGTTTAAATATCTTAAACACGTTTTATCAAAATTAAGTGATGCAAAGCTCAAGGAAGGTATATTTGTTGGACCACAAATTAGAAAACTACTGAGTGGTCAACAGTTTGACAAAAAATGAAGTAATGTTGAATGAGCTGCGTGAAGTTCTTTCAAAAGAATTGTTTCGGAGTTTTTAGGGAACAAGAAAGTAGAAAATTACGAAACACTTGTAGAAGAACTACTTGAAAACTACTGCAGAATGGGATGTCGCATGTCTCTCAAAATCCATTTTTTGCACTCACATTTGAATTTTTCCCCCGAAAATTTGGGTGCTGTCAGTGACGAACAAGGGGAAAGGTTCCACCAAGACATACTGACAATGGAGCAACGTTACCAAGGTACATGGGATGCAGCTATGATGGGGGATTATTGTTGGTTCCTAATGAGGTTCCTACATGAAGACCATTATTCTCACATCTACAGTTACTCTCAAACTCATTTGAATTCATCTCAATTCATCCCAGTTTTAGTTAAATGTAATGGGTATTGAAGTTATTTGCCACTTTGTCTTGAACTTGTGATATACTGTTTGGAACCTTTGGTGTAGTAATGAATATTACTGGAGTTTTTTCCCAACACCAAATCGTTATTTTTACACCTCGACACGTGTTTCAATCACCAAGTGATCATCTTCAAGAGGAAGATAAAACTAATAACTACTCAAAACTAAAGCTACTTATACTAATCAGGTACATCATACAGATAGGTAATCAGTAATACCACCCATACAAGTGTACCACCCTAAATTAATTTTACAATTGGCCTTTCTATTATTTACAATATGTCCTTATGTATGTTTAAATGTTACAGCTATATATAGAACAATTTTCAGCTATATAAAATTAGTTTCACAATATTGCCTATCTAAATATATTAACAATGTGTCTTTTTGTAGTAATCAGTAAACCCAACAATATTATTTCAACAAGCTATATAGTATGCTATTTGGTATTGGTCCGTTGTCGTTATTCATAATATTATTATGTTTACTTATTTCCACACTCTCATAGACATCTAGTTGCCTGTTATTATTAACTTGTCTAACTAATCTTAAAGAACTGAAGTCTATGGAATGGTTTTGTTGCGAAATATGATGGGCGACTGCTGATTTTTCAGGCATTCACGTAATAATGCATGCAGATGACACGTCATCGATAAATTAATAAAAAACGAACGCTCATAAAACCCAAATTATACGATTTCATAACTCTCAAAGAAAATGAAATCCTCTCAGAATCAAGATGAGTGTTGATGTATTCATTGACAGTACAGATGAAACCAATTTTCTTGGACTCTTTATTGATGAAAATGTAAGCTGGAAAGGTCATTGCACAAACTTTATGAAAGAATTGAATTCTGTATATTTCATGTTCAGGAATCTCAAACATATACTGAAAATATCTCAGCTAGTGGCTCTATACCATGCACAGGTTCTGCATGGTATATAATTAGGTATAGAATTGGGTATGGAATATGTTTTTGGGGAAATTCCACTTTGGCAAAAAATGTTTTTTCTATACAAAAACGAATAGTAAGAATAATAGCTAGAGTTCCTAGTACACATTCCTGAAGGGACCTTTATAAACATTTTAGAATTTTGATCCTCAGGTCTGTCTATATTTATGAATTATCTGTCTTTATTTTTAAAAATAGACAAAAATTTGTTTTGACGGGAGATTTTCACTCCGTAAATACACGCTTAAGAAAAAATTACCACTTTCCATTCACAAAATATAAGGCCTCTGACAATGCACCTACAATTATGGGTCTGTCTCCCTCAAACAATTCCTAACTGAAAAATGTTTCTACTCGTTGGAAGAATATTTTAATGGCTAGTTATATCATATATGTATGTATATAAGTGTAAGTGCATGGGTGTATATGTATTTTTATTCTACGAGGAAGATTCAACAAAGCCTCAGGTCGGCTAAAGACAAAAGAGACCCATTATCAGCGGCAGGGGTCTATCGCATACCGCGCACTTGTGGAAAGGTATATTTCGGAACCACCAAACGATCCATGGGAACAAGACTAAAAGAGCATAAAAGGAACTGCAGACTAGGCCAAACAGACAAGTCAACTGTGGCAGAACACGCACTGAGTGAAGGAGACCACAGAATCTTGTTTGAAAACACAGAACGAATTACCCCCAACCAGGGATAACATAGCCGACTGGTACGGGAGGCAATAGAGATCCACAATCACACGGATAATTTTAACAGAAAAGAAGAAGCGGTGAACCTCAATCAAATATGGAACCCCATTTTAAGGAATTCGAGAATAACGAACAGGAAAACAGGCAGCAAGATTGTTAATGCTTCAGGTTCAAGTGCAGGTACGAATACAGGTACAATTGCAGGTACAACTACAGGTACAAATACAACGGATTACCTGACAAGGCATAAATACGCTTTACGAAGCCTAAAAGGTAGTCATCGGACAGCAAGCCATGATGGTTAAACCTCTGAAGAAGCTAGCCACTCGCGCCAGCGAAACGTCAGGAAGAAATTCCAAAAATCCACGGCTTTCAAACTCGAAAAGCAATGACACTGAAAACCTCAGCCGTGAAAGTCTGAACCATTCTGTCAAGTGAAATAAATATTATAATTATTATTATTTGGCTGGTTTAAAAAAACTGTTTGCATGCAACTTTGCTTTGACTTTTTCCTTGGCATCGTTCAGAAGAAAATGTTTTTTATATGTTGAGGAAAATGTATTTATCATGTCTCTCCATATTTAGTCAAAAGCGCCCTCTCGGTGGCAAGTGATGTCACACTACTGAATTTTTTTTATTAAAAACGACTACTTTTCCTAACTTCTGATTCATCTTTCATCATCCAGTTTGTGATGTGAAATTGAATACATTTTTTAAAGCGTAGGTAAACATTATGATGTTTTTATGCAATATTCTTAAATGAACTTCCTGAATTTTTGTTTGAATGTATATTTACGGTACAATTAGTGTGTGTACGATACAACAATAATGAGAAAATATATCATTTCTGTTGGACTTGAAATGGAACATTACTAGGAGAAATGAAGTATTTTCGGAACAAAAGTTATAGGAATTGAAGGGGTTATATTTTTAGGAGTGATTAATTTTTGGGAAAGAAAGTTTTTGGCTTTCTACTACTTCATCTTGATACAAAAAACAAGGATGAGGGAATCTTCCAAGGAAAGGGAGGAAGTAATCAATTTTAAAATTCCTTTCCTTGGAAGATTCCCTCATCCTCTAACTCTAGAGTTACTTATTTCAAAATTGATTACTTCCTTCCTTTCCTTGGAAGATTCCCTCATCCTTGTTTTTTGTATCAAGATGAAGTAGTAGAAAGCCAAAAACTTCCTTTCCCAAAAGTTATAGGCTTTCTACTTCTCCATTAGTAAACAAAAAATGCGGGAAAATTACAAAGAATCGAACAAAGAAAATAATTACAATAGAAAATTTTCATAAAGAAATGTAGAGCATACACAGAAGTCTATTTCATCTACAAACTGGAAGCAACTAGTTTGATATGTACATTGAATTACACGAAAGTCACTTTTTCCTATTCAATTTTAACCACAATCATTCTTTATGAAATTGAACAAATATTATTCATATAAACGATACACCACATGAAATATGAAAAGTATTAATATATAATGTCACTTACATAAAACACTATAATTCTCAATGGTGTACGTCTACGTTCCGGGACAAGACGCTCATTTTATCGCCTTATCAGCACCGTTTCGAATAATATAACAACGTTTTTTAGGAAAGACAGTTTTTGGCTTTCTACTACTTCATCTTGAATAGAAAAATCTAGGAATCTTCCAAAGGAAGGAAGAAGTAGAAAGCCAAAAACTTTATTTCCCAAAAATTAGTCACATATAACCCTTTCAAATTATAACAATGTTCATGTGAAAGTAGTTGTTGAATAGGTCATTTTTTTGAAAATCTAACTTCAAAAATCAATGAATCACGAAAGTGTTCCTGAAATGATTTTTGAAAATAATCGAAAATCTAGATGATTTTTATACTTTTTTTTTTAGTTTGTTGACGGATATATTCAGACTAAATTAGTGGATTCGAATTTTATGTGATCATATGTGTAATAAATTTACTGGGTGTGATACGCCACTGACATTTGTAGATTTCCGTTTCTTATGTTGTTGTATACAAAAATATAATCTTTTTTGCTTCTGGGGAACTGGCCGAATGATGCAGTCCACGTTATGTATATGAGAAATAAAATTTAATTCGGAAATAATTGTTCATCTTATTTTTTTGAACGTACATTTCAATATGTAATTAATATAAGTAATGCAGTCTAAGACATCATCTAGACGTTACTTTTGTTGAAAGATAAGACCTTGTTGATCGCTAGCTCGCTAAAGATTAGACTTTTGGGGAGATTAAGCTTGAACTTATGTATGTTTTATACTCACACAACATGTTCATTTTCATCAGTATCATCAGCATCTTCGAGATCAGATGAAGTGATCCCAACAATAGACGAATTGAGTGAATTCCTCATTGGCGATCCATGATTTGAATGAGTAGGGCACATGGACATGGAAGTATCTGCTAAAGTTTGTCTGACAGGACCTTGTCTGCAGCGCCCTCTCGTGTGCGTAGATCTGACTGTAGCAAGGATGGCGCGTTTTGGAACTTCTTGATGATCAATGTAAGGAGGATGGTGATTTAATTTGCAGTTGACATGGTTTGGCGTATTGTTGGATGACGTTATTTGAATCGAAGCTGAATCTGGAAACAACGTGGATAGATCTCTTAATAGTCATTGACGCACATAAAATATTCTGAGCATGAAATAGTGAGATAATAGACGATGTTAAAAAATATTGAAAACATCCCACCAGAACACCTTCTTCATTTGAATTCAGAAGAATGTAATAATCTGATTATTATTAGGGATGCTAAAGAAAAATTTGGAAACTTTTGAAAATATGAAGTGTCAGTTTTTTAAGATTTGTGAAGAGAGTGCACACAAATTGTATTCGTACTCATTTTTGACGTATAAAAAAGCTGTAACTTTGATGAAATGTTTATTTATTCAGAACATATTTTCATCGAATTCAAAGATATATGTTTCTGAAGATAATTAGTTGAAAATGTTTCATTTATTTGTTTATTTATGAATTGATGAATTGAAACTAGATTCATTTGGAATAGTTGACGAAAATGAAAAGAATGAATACTTGAAACTTAAAACCATCCTTTTCATTCGAAGTTTTCAATTAAAAAAAAAAAGTATTGAAACCGACGACTATTTCAAATCTAAATGTAATAGAAGTGAGACTCATAAATAATACACTGAAAAAATCTCACTGTGGAAGTAAATCTTTACTCCCAAGAAGAAATGAAACAAAAACAAAAAGGATGGCATCTGCAAGATAAGTAGGGGAGAGGAGGGCAAGTTGTTACAAAATTGATTCTAGTTATTTATTTGGACCATAGTGGGCCTTTTATATGAAAATTAAAATCGGAATAGGGTAGTGATACATTTACACAAATGATGCGGATTTTAATTGAAATATATATATATATATATATATATATATNTATAAGGTGATATGTTACATGAAAAAAATCTAAAAGCTCCAAGCATAAACTTTATTAAGTGGTCATGGAATGAATTCTTTTACAAAAAGTTCCTATAAAAAATATAATAAAAGTAACACAAAATGCAATGAAATACGAAATAACAACCTGAACAAACCTGTTAACAAGAATATTAAACTAGTCGCTATCGGACGAGCAGTGAATACAAGTGTAAAAATCGTTGTCTTTTCCACAACCCATATGTGCCCATTTTTCACACACAATGCACTGAATCCATTTTTCGTTTTTAGACTGCGAAAATGGAGCTAAACATACCAGACACGCCGATTCCTCATCCCCTTCCGAGCTTTCAGAATTTGATTTTTCGAAGATGTTTTTGGTGATGATGTTCCGTTTCTTGCATTTTTTAAAAGTAATTTTCACCCTGCTTTTTGATTCACCTGATATGTTCCTTTTGGTTGCCCCCACATTTCTTTTTCTTTGTCTTTCTGTTTGTTTCTCTTCTAGAGCTGCTTTAATAGGAGTATCAGTCAATACAGGGAAAGTTCTTTTCTTCCGATCTTTTTTGATTTTCTTGGCATTGCTTTTGGATAAGGTTTCACCTCTTGGGGCGTTAAATGAATAGGTGCCAAATCAACAGGTTCATTTTGCGCCAAGTTAATATATGTGCTTGTAGAACGTTGCTGTGGAGAAGGAGTTCTATGTCTTTCTGTGCCAATAAGTGTGGGATCTATGTCTACTCTTGCGTTTATATTTTCTGATATTGGCCTATTTATTACCTCTGCAGGCAAGAATTCATCATCTTGAAATATTTCCCTGTTGTATGGCCAATTTCCTGTCACACTAAATCCTTTCTGTATATTAGGAGGTGTAACAGCAAGAGGAAATGCATCTTTGAGAACGGTAGGTATGTCGTAAATGTTCATTACTTTATCGGGATTAGATATTAACCATGCATCTGCAGCACTGTTGAAATGTCTTTTGAGTGGGCCAAATACCGTTCTGTCAAGTGGTTACAATTTGTGCGATGTATGTGGCGGGAATCACTCCATTTTCTTTGCAAAAATTCAACACAGAGATGAAGTATCGGCCGTAAAATATCGGCAACCCATTATACTTGCTGCGTTTTGAACTGATTGTGTAACAACTTGCCCCCCTCTCCCCTACTCGTAGATGTTACTTATGCCTTTGAAAAATACAAACAGGCAGCGATGAATAATAATAGAGTTTGTCAAAATATCCACTTTCAACACAGTTCATCGTGAGATGTTTGTAAATTGATCAAAATATTTCTAAAAAATTATGTTCATACCTAATGAGACAATCATGGAAATTATTAATAAACTATGTTCACATTATCGCCACCTTCAAGACGTTCGTTTTTAATGTCATATATAGGGACATGTCTCATATCAAATCATTAATTTTGAGCTGATGAAAATACTATCTGCTTAATCGATGAAAATCTGTATTTCCACTGGAATGAAAAACTCAAGATACATAATATTTTAAGAAACAATGTTATTTCTAGCCCATTTTGAAGATATCGTTTCAGGAATGTGAAAGAAACTAATTATTTTGATTTCTTTTTGAAACGACATGAATTATCTATTCATGACCGTTATGAGATTTGTCATGACGTTTGTTATAACGTTTGTCCTGACAATTGTTTTGGGAAGTTGCAAATATTTTTTACGGACTCAAATGATTGCTAAAATACCAAATATCATAAATATATCACAAATCCCATGATATTTCATAGAATCAATAAAAAATTAATAATTGATGCTAGCGCGTTTCTCATTTGATCTCTCTAATAATTTTCAATGATGACGTTTCAATATACCGAATATTTGATTAAGTACATGCTTGCTCCATTATCCAAAAGGTAAGACTGTTTCGTATTTTTCAGATATTAAAGTCTGTATCGCAGATGGTTTAGCGTTGGCATGGTAATTTAGGAGTTTTCATTAAGAGCTTCCTTCATTTAAATTTGAATGAAAGAAACTGTGTGTGAGATATTATCGAAATTTATTATCCGTTTCAAAGACCTATTGATGCAATTAAGTGTGGAATATAATATCGTTCAAATGTCCGACACGGCTTCTCCGGTGGAGCGTAGCCGAAACGTCCAATTTTTCGAGAAAAAGTCTAACGGAGTCAAATCACACGACCGCGGTGGCCAGGTCACATCGCCTCCACATGAGATCAGATGCCCTCAAATCGCTCGTGCAGAATATCTAATGTGATATGAGCTGTGTGACACATAGCGCCGTCCTTTTGAGACCATATGTCGTTGGTGGCCAGATCATCCAATTCAAACCAAAAGAAGTTGGTAATCATCGACCTATAGTGCTCGCCGTTGACAATGATGCCCTGGCCAACGTCGTTCTCAAAGAAATATGGACCGATGATGCCGCCAGCCAGAAATCCACACCAAACAGTGAATTTTTTGGGATGCCTTGGACGATTTTGGATCTTATGTCGATTGGTTTCTTCCCAAATTCTACAATTATGTTTGTTCACGTATCCATTCATCCGAAAATGGGTTTCCGAAATTCATTACCTTGCATAGTATAAAAATGTGTTGAGTGGAATAGACCTAATGAAACATAATTTACTGATGAAAGTGTTTTGTCCCGAAATTATATTTCAACTTTGGATTCCTGATCAGCGAACAAAAATAGGTAAGTATGCACCCAACTACCAAACATTACCAATTTAAGTTGAAGACTTTGATGCGTTGTTTTCCTCATTAGAGATACTTCGCAAAATATTAATTGAACACGAAATGAAACCTGTTAATGCTGAGGATTTTCACAGAGATGAAACATTATCAGAATTTAATAACGAATTTAATAAAAGAGTTTTTTAATCACTACTGAGAATATTGCATTCTTGATTATTTCATATGGACATTATGAATTATACTTTCAATATATTTTCAATCTTTGTAATGACATGCATAATGAATAAGTTTCCAGGAAAACAAAATAATGTCTCAGCTTTCTAGTTTTATGCATAATACAGTGTTATAGGTATACTTGCATCGTGATGGGAAGGTGAATAGTTATTTGATTGCTTTGGTTGATAGTAGATATGAGAATGATCAATAGTTCACTGGTTCACTGACGCAAATCAAATTTATGAAATTGTTTTTGAGGAATTCTTGATACTTTTAATGTATTGTTTGGAACCTTTGGTGAAGTAATGAATATTACTGGAGTTTTTTCCCCACACCAAACCGTTATTTTGACACTTTGACACGTGTTTCGATCACCAAGTGATCATCTTCAAGAGGAAGATCAAACTAATCATACTTACAAAGCTATCCCTATTTATACCACAGATACCTGTTCCAGGTACCCGCGTCTTGAGTGTCTTGAATTAATTTTACAATTTGCCTTATCTACTTGTCTTAAATTAATTAATTTTACAATGTGTCCTTATGCAATAGTTGAGTAAATCTAATAATTAAAACCAATTTCACATATTGCTTTATCTACTAGTCTTATATAAATTTTACAATGTGTCCTCATGTAATAATCAGGTAAATCTAATGAATAAAATATTATTTTAACAAGCTATACAGTATACTATTAGGTATTGGTCCCCATCTTTATTCATATTATTACATTTACTAATTTTCACACTCTCATAGGTATCTAGATGCCTGTTATCAACTTTTCTAACTAATCTTAATGAACTGAAGTCTATAGAATGGTTTTGTTGCAGAATATGATAGGCGACTGCTGATTTTTCTGGTCTTCCATATTTTATTTGTGCTAAGTGTTCCATTATATCTTATTTTGATAGATCTTTTTGTTTGTCCATAATATTTTGCATCACAGTCCTTACATTTAATTGCGTATATTCCAGAATTTTCCAAATTTTTGACTTTGTCTTTTGGACATCCTAAAAAACTCTGTAGTGAATGACTTATTTTAAAAACCACCTTCATACCTAGGTCCTTAAAAATCTTTCCAAAGTTCTTCGTGTATTGGTATGTCCTTTCTAAAAGTCGAGATTTTGTTCTTTTTTAACCCTGCGTCCGACACGTGGACTTTTGTAACATTTGTAGACACGTGGGGTGTGTGAGACCCCAATATGATTTTTCTGTTGAAATTAACATTTTCTTGAATTTTAACATAGTTGGTTTGAGAATTCTATAGTGTAATATCTCTTTTTGCAAAAAAATTATCTTCGATTTACCAAAACGAGCAATAAATCGTTATATTCCGTCTTTACCAAAACAATGAGTTCTTTAAATGTAAAAAAATATAGATTTACTCGAAGAAGTCTTTTGCACATAAAACGACTACATAAATATCAAATTGCTGGTTCGAACAGATAATGAAACATTATAAAATAGAAATAAAAAAAATATATTATCGAGAAGCATAAAAAAAATTACAGGTCATCAACATTTGCCATTTCTACGCAAGATATGCAGTACATTTCCGCATGGTCCAGACATATGAATTTATTGCATTTGTTACAAATGTTTTTTGTATTTCGATAAGGGGCACGATGGCAATGTTAACACCTTCCTTGTCCATTTTGTTTAAGTCTTTTGGATGGAGGTTCTACAGTTTCGCCTCTGACCTTCGAAATCTGGATAGTTACTGAAGATGCTAACATTATCGCTCGTTTCATCACCATCAGATTCGTCAATTTCATCATCACGCCCCAGTTGCTTTATAACAGGTCTGATTGAAACATACGTCAAACGACGACTGATTTGAGATGTGAATATGAGAGTGGAGGCTATATGCGGAAGCTACTGAATATATTCGACGCTGGGGCGCCAATTTCGAAAAGTTATATGAAATTTTTTTACGACTCGGGTATGTCACACCCCACGTGTCGGACGCAGGGTTAACCTAAACTTCTTCTTCCTTATGTCACCTACAATACCTCTCGAGAAACCGTTAGTGGCTGCTATTTGCTGTAATGTGCGTTTTCCTTTGCGAATCTCTCTTGTGTTAGAGGGAAAGTCAAAAGACGATGCATAAAAAATTTAACTCAGCATGTTTGTGCTGTCCACAGTGATGTGAACTGTCAGAAATATACCTGTACGTGCTTGTTTCTTTTCTAAATACATCGTATTCTGACCCTCCGTATTGGCTCCTCATTACCACAACGTCAAGAAATGGAAGTTGTCCTTTATGTTCTAACTCATACGTGAAGAAGAGTGTAGAAATAAGTAAACATAATAATATTATGAATAATGATGGTGGACCAATATCTAGTAGTATACTATATAGCTTGTTGAAATAATATTTTATTTATTAGATGTACCAGACTATTACATAAGGACACATTGTAAAATTTATTTAAGACAAGTAGATAGGGCAATATTTTGAAATTGAATTTGATATTTCACCTTACTATTACATAAGGACACATTGTAAAATTTATGTAAATCTAGTAGATAAGGCAATATGTGAAATTAATTTTATATAGCTTATAATATTTCATTTATTACATTTATCTGACTATTACATAAGGACACATTGTAAAATTGATTTAAGATACTCAAGACGCAGGAAACTGAAACAGGTATCTGTGTTGTAAATAGGGATAGCTTTCTAAATATGAATAGATTGATCTTCCTCTTGAAGATGATCACTTGGTGATCAAAACACGTGTCGAGGTGTTAAAATAATGGTTTGGTGTGGGGAAAATACTCCTGTAATATTGAATTCTTGATAGGTTGAATTGCTACCCCTGAAAATATTTCTATCACGTACTGGAAGCAAAGATCTTGTTCCGGTATGAGGAAAAAATCCTTTTCTGCCTCTAACTCTATAGAAAGAATGAGAAACTTCCTGAGAAGAGAAGAAAAAATGAAAGTGAGTATATCAAAAAAGTTGTGTGGGAAGGAGTTTATTCAAATACAAACCCGAAAAAAAATCCATCCAAAACAACTTTTGATTATGAATTTTGAAATCAATGGAAGTTAATTTTTATTATTCGTGGTGGAACTGAAACAGATATTCTTACATGGAAGTAATAATAAACCGTTTCAACTGTTTGATGTACTGAAAATGTATGTCAGATCTCTTTCTACTTGATTTCACAGAGGAATGTTTGATAGTCAAGCAAAAATATTCGAATACATATCATTAACGATGATATTATTTGTTTTCATTTTATTATTTCCGAAAAATATCTTCAACTGTTTGCTGTAACTGAAAAATGTAACAATATATTTTCTAATTTATTTCCATAGAGAAATGTTCGAATTTGACGCAAATAATTTTGAATTTATCTCATTTTATTTTTCTATATATGCTTTTAGGGGAACTGTGGCAAACTACAACTGCCCTTTGTATCGATGATCAATTTAACTTACTTCTTGATGAATAGAATTTGAAACCTTTGCCGTGAAATGAATCTATTGAAAACTTTTCCTCATCAGAGCAAAACTACTATCTCTCGGTGCGCATATCAACTGAAACTTTCAGTTTCAGTATCAGTTTCAGTTACGTTCAGTTTCAGTTGATACGTAAAGAACAGTACTTTGACCATGCCACTGAAGCTAACTGCCGCAGTTGCAGTTGAGACGTTTGGAGAGTGTAACCGAAGAAGACCACGACAAAATCCGGAAACCAAACAAAACATTTCAGGAGGATCTTTCAAAGATCCTTCAGATATTCTTTTGTTTTGCACCATTTTGCAGCATCTTATATTTGTTTCGGTGAGGGGTAAGAGTTTTCAATAGATTGAAACACCTAAATCTACACTTTTGAGAACTCTCTCATTCATTTTGTTGTTTAAATTTGAATCCATATTGCAATGGAAAATATTTTCTGTTGTGCAGAATGAAGGATGCAGAATTGGAATACCTTCAAGTTGTCGCTCAATTATTATTCGTATTTGAAATTTTTAACATGTGATTTTTCATGGGGATGGAGTGGCTGACAAGGTATTTCAAAAATATGTCCCACTGGAAACTAAAGTTGAATTGTTTCACAATTTATTTTATGGTCCTAATATCGAATGACTCCTGTTGGTGTGACTCCTTTCAACTGGATGGCACTATATATACTCACTCATAATATCAATGTGCATGAGTTGTAAGTTTTCAGTAACAATGAATAAATGAAAATTGTTAACTGAAAGTTTTCCTCTTTCTACACCTGTATGAAGTTTTCAGATTGTGAAATGTGGGAATTTCATAAAGATTTAATATTTTGAAAGTGATTGTGATTTTCATTTCATGAACTCACCTTCATGAGATTTACAGTAGAACTTTCCCGACGGACTGGAAGGAGCTTTGTGGTAGCCAACCGCGGTATCCTTGATCATATTGTCTTCGCTGTGACAACACATTTTAGAATATCCTTTCCGAGCACCCGAAGCCAGTAAATTACCAAGTGCCGATAACAGAATCAGCATCAAAGGAACGCCAATGATGGCATAAATCATCGCAACAATTTTGCCTAAGGCAGTTTTCGGTGACAATTTGCCATAACCTGAAATATAGAATGGAATGGAAATAAGTGTCGAATCAAAAGTTTATCATCATATTTCTCAGTGGTGAAATTGATAGTATGAAATACTGAATGGGTTGAAAGCTTGGAATGGATCTCTGTCCCGATATTTTAAACTATTTTTTTCTTCATTCGAAAAAAAAAAACTGAAATTACTCATTCGTCAAACAATCAATCATTTGTTTAGTTGAAATTGACAAATATGATATTTCTTTTTGATATGGAACCAGAACTCTTCAGAACGGTCTTCAAGTTCAACAATAATAGTAGAAAAATAACAGGTTTTTTCATAACTATGAACAAAATGAACAAATTCAAAGTAAGAACGTTAAATGGATATTTTCAGAATTTGAAAAAGAATTCAGAACAATAGGCAGATTTTCATATTTCAAATTTTGTTTTGGATAACATAAGAAACTATTTCAATTAACCCTGTTTGGACAAATAATTACTGATAAACTTTTACTGCCTTGATTCGAGGTCTCGTTTGAAAAATTAGTGAAAGTTATTATATTTTCAATAATATTCAACCTCAACTATTCAACTATAATTTTATCTACCTCATCTCAGTACCACATAGGTTCAAATTCAACTATAAGAGCAGTTAATAAAAGAACCACGAAAGAGGGACTGAAATCTTAACTTCAAGGTCAGAAAATACAATTGTTGAGATTTGATAGGTTTCGGTTCGTTGCAACTGCTTCAGTGCCCTCCTTTGAAACTAGAGTGATCCATTCATCATTTCAAATACAATGAATATTACTGAAATTTTTTCCCAAAACCAAATCTTTATTTTTAACACCTCGACACGTGTTTCGATCACCAAGTGATCATCTTCAAAGAGGAAGATTAAAACTAAGAACTAGTGCGAGCTAATTCAATTTATGCTATAAAGGTAACCCATACAGGTAAACCATCTAGGCGTACCAACAATACAGGTATACCAACCTAAATTAATTTTACAATTTTGCCTTATCTATTATAAGGCGTACCAACCATACAGGTATACCAACCTAAATTAATTTTACAATTTTGCCTTATCTATTAATATATACGCCTAGATGTTTTACCTGTATGGGCTACACATGACCTCACCTCAAAAGAATGCAGTCGGTAATAGCCGGTAAAATTCTAGTACCGGATCGACTACTGAGTTCTCGAAAGGACCTTTACCGGCAGTTCAGAAAGTGAATCGAGCGGCTAAACAAGAAATTCAAATAGTGAAAATGAATTAGGTATTAGTTGCTAAGTTTTCTGATTAATAAATTAGTAGTTTGTGACCAGTGAAATATTGTTGGAAATGAATTTGTTTAAGACAGTTAATTTATCAATTTTTCACAATAGGATTGATTTGACTATATAACATACACATAAGACACATGTTGTGGATGCAATGATTCACCCACTGATACCTATTTTCCGAGTACACTCTTATGAAGCAGGTTAGGGTTGACATTTGGAGGTCATTTCCGAATTGCTGTAACTTTCAGTGGTTAGCCAGTAGTTTGCTAGGAAAGGACGGAAGATGGATTCCCAAGGATTTTCATGGTTATCGACAGTTTGGTACGGATGACACCAGAGAAAGGCAGGTAAGTTTGTCTCTATCCAGATCATTGGTCTGATAATCTGTTTGAAAAAAAAACAACCTTTTTTTGTTATCCAGCTATCGCCCCCTACAAACGACAACTCGTGCGAGCTGAGAATTAACGAGGTCTTGCATTTTATTGTGCGATTTCATAACACCCAATGGATTCGTAGCAGCTCCTAGCCCCAGGATTTTCCAAAAAACTTGGCATGTCTGGTTTTGTGAAGATTTTTGAAGTGAGCGCTCTAAGTGAATTTTCATCAAGAATAATACATAGATGTTTTACTCCCGCTGCAAATGGGATAAACGTATTGCGAAATTCTCCAGATTCTTCTTCTTGATGTAAGGGATTGCAGACATCTGCTTTCTCTGACACCAACAATGAACTTCGTACTGCGTTCTTTGGATAATAGAGACTCTGTCGAGGACGTCAAAAAGACTATCCATCAGGAGTGACCATAAAAGGGGGAAATAGTACCATGTCATTGAGGGCAGCTTGTGATGACAATCAATCTTCATATACTTCCTATACACAGTTGTGTGAGCCATAATAACATAGACATCTTTGGTTTTGTTGCTGGAGATGAAGGAGCGAACACTAAGAACAATTTAGTTGTGGTATAAATACTCATCCGAATATAGAACGTTAGCATTCAATACACATCCTTTTTTTCAGGGGGAAGTATATGCAATTCTGTGATATGTAGAGACAATAATTTTGAACTTCAACGAAGGGATCGAATCAATATTTTACAGACTGCTAGGCTGCATTTTCGGCATTGACAAATCTAAGAAGGACATCGAGGTTGTCCTGGAGAGATGTTGCAAGTAACTGAAATAATTGGGTGTAAAAGATGCTCTGGGATTACGAATAAACCATATATGGTCTCCGAACAGCTGTGGAGATACCAGAGTCAAAATCATGGACCCATATTAGGAACTGAGTCAATAAGAAATAGTAAAAGAGAAATAGTAAAAGAAAAGTAAAAGAAATAGTAAAAGAGGAAAGGTTCAATGAAAATTTGGAATACTGGAAAATATATCAGGGAACACACATTGAAAAACCTTTATTAAAAGACCCCATGAGAAAAGAATCGAACTGGCATTGCCTAAAAAAAGCGGTGTTCTCAGAATAATCACTGTACACTGTTCATTTAGAATACAACTGGACAAGACTTTAGCTGTTGACCATGCAACAGAGATATACAGTCAGCTTGTTATGCAGTGCATTCCATTTGAAACGAGCCACCCTGAATAACTTTTGGTACCATGATTTTTAGAAAAAACAAAATTAAAACACGTCAACAATAGTATATAGGGGAACACATTTTGACATATTCACATTTGATGTTACTTTCTCTATCGAACCCCCAGAGTATATCACCATTTTTTTTAAATGGATCACCTCATATTGTTCCGCATTCCATGAGTAGATTTCAACAAAGTATAAAACATATGGTCTGAAGCTTATGGTTCGGGAGTTACGAATTATTTGAGTTGAATAGGAGCCACCCTGGATAACTTTTGGAACAATAATTTTGGGGAAAAATAAAAAACACCTCAACAATAGTATACAGGGGGACATATTTATACTTGATCTAACTTTCCCTATCGCACCCACAGAGCATGTCACCATTTTTTTTGGATCAATTGTTTTGCATTATCAGATGTTCCGTGATGAACAGATTTCAACAAAGTAGAATACATTATGGTCAGAAGCTCATAGTTAAGTTGAAAACGAGCCACCCTGAATGAACTTCTGTGTAATCTGTTACTTAGGTTTCATAGGTGTTTTTGTGAAGTATACTTAAAAAAAATCTTAGTTTGCCTAGTTAAGTTTGAATTCGATATTTTCTCCATTTTGTATTTGTCTCATTCTACAATAACGAAAACCTACCAGATGAAGTTACAATTGGTGTTTCTGTTTTTGTGAATTCTTGAGAACGGATTGAAATAGTGAGTTTGTACTTCCAGAATAGAAATAGTGCTAGAGCTGCTGCTCGTATGTTCATCCAGGAAGAACTGACACAAATACATTTCGGAATTATTGAACAAATTTATGGAAACTGGATCTGTTTACAATAAAAACCATAACCTTTCAGGAGTTATCAACGATAAAGCTGAATTTCACTAGTTCGGACTTCCATTGTCTATTATATAAAATGATTTGAAATCCCTGAAACAAGTAAAAAAGAATAATTAAAAAAGAATAGTTGAAAATAACAATTATATTAAGCAACAATAAACCTGAAATGAAATGATAGTAAA